TTGGATAAAGAAATTACTGTAAAAAAAAAACTAATTATACAAGTTAGGGCTATTTTATAAACTTTTCGTGCGGGAGAAAAAATAAGAAACCGAAATCTATGGGCGGGAGGAAAATTGGATTGCTTGATTAGAAAGTTAAAAAAACGAGTCCGTATCCGGTGCACCCGGGTATACCGTATACCCCCACCAAACACACGCATTACACGCGCTCAACATTTTTCACCTTTACATTAAATGTACATCCAAAATTGTTTTCATCCATTTTACTGTTTTCATCCTCACGCACAAACACACACAATTGCTGGTTATCCAGAAGGGATAAACAGGTTATCCAAAAGGTGTAAACTGGTTATCCACAGGTTGTAAACTGGTTATCCACGAGGCGTAAACTGGTTATCCAGAAGGTGTAAACTGGTTATCCACAAGTTATAAACTGGTTATCCAGAAGGTGTAAATTGGTTATCCACAAGTTGTAAACTGGTTATCCAGAAGTAAAGAAGCAAACGACATGTTAATTGGGGGGCTTCGCCCCATATGATAAACTAAACGACTCCCGCGGCTACCGGAATCGCAGGTCACCAACCTGCCCCGGCTGCGCCGCCCCGCCGAACACGCCAATTTAGCTAAGGTAATCCTTTTTTCGTGTGTGTGTAAGGAGAATGTGTTATTGCGTTAAGAGGGGACACAAATTACTTGTATAAATCCTCCCGTGATAAACTAAACGACCCGGCTGCGCCGCCCCCCCTGCCGAACACGACAAATTTCATAAATAGTATTTAAATGAATGAGGGGTATTTTGCCAAATGATGGAGAACAAAAAATGAATGGGGGGCAGTTTGCCAAATAATGGAAATGAGGTATGTTCAATTGTGTATGACTAATTATCCATATTATCAATACTGGTTATCCAACCGTGTATAACTAATTATCCATATTGCCAACACTGGTTATCCACATTGTGAACACTGGTTGTCCATAGTGTGTAGTTGGTTATCCATAGTGTGCACACTGGTTATCCAACTATATTTAACTAGTTATCCATAGTGTGCACACTGGTTATCCAGCTATGTTTAACTAGTTATCCATAGTGTGCATACTGGTTATCCACAGTGTCAATACTGGTTATCCACAAAGTTTTCAAAATTTGAATGAATTCGGTAATTTATATATGCCACGTTTAAAAAAAAAAGAAAAAGAAAGCTGAATTATCTAGAGAGCTCACGCTATTCTAAGAGAGTAAAGTACACGCGCATGGGGGTACACGGTGTCCCCGGGTGTACCAGATAATTTGCCTAAACTTTTTCAGTTTTTGAGTTCAAAAGTTTGGTATTAGACAATAGAAATTTACAGTGTCTTCTGTTGACCAGTTTAATCCTATTTGATCAAAGTACCCTTGGTGCCATATGATTGGATTTTTTACGCACAGTATATATATAGGGTGCTTGAATTTAGGGTATCTCAGACCCAAAGTCGTGGGATAAAATGTGTTTTAGGGTTTCAAAACTAGACATTTTTAATCTTCTTGCGTTTTGAAAACGCAAATGGACTAGTCACCATTAAAAATTCGCGTTTCAGAAACACTAAACACGTTAATTAATTTTTTAAAGAAAATTGATCCGGAAAGAAAAGAAAGAAAAGCAATGGAATTAATGGGGGAAAAAATAAAAACGTGTTTTGAAAACGCGAGTCAAAGGAAACGCGTTTCTAAAACACTAAACTAATTTTTCGCGTTCGGAAAATGCTAAATACGTAATTCGCGTTTTGCAAACGCTGATTTGAGGAGTTACAGATGCGCTTGTGCTCTCCTAAATTACGTTTCTAATTTTAATCAAAATTGAAAGTTCAGTTTCTAATTTTATTACTTTTTTGCAACCAAATAATTCTCTTCTTCTTCTCAATTTCACCTCTCCCCCACTGAAACCCACACCCCAGGACCGCGCCCCCCAACCACCACCTTCAGCCTCCCCCTCCCATGGCAACAATATGGAATCCGGGTCTTCCTCATCCTCAACCAACAACGTGTCAGGCCTAACCCAATCCCTCTTTAGCAAATCCCCGAATTTCTCTTCCACATCCACCCACCCTACACCCAAATCCAATCCGGGTTCCGCAATTTCATCATCGTTGTCGTCCTCATCATCACTGCCCAACCCAAGGTTCCTCAACCGTAGCACAATCCAGTCAATTGCGGAAGTCCGAGATGGGTTCGAATCATCTTTATCGACCCGACCGCTTTGCAATTCGGGTTGGATGGTTCTGGGGTTCTTGTAATGGACAGGAGAAAGTGGACTTTGGGATGGCCATTTGTTAAGCCAAGAAGATGAATAAAGAAAAGAAAACCCGGCCATTTGTTAACCCACCCTTGTCGTCGGACGCCAAACCCAGCCCTGTCACCGCCAAAAAAGAAAAGAAAAGAAAAGAAAAGAAAAGATAACCTGAAATAATGGTCGCCGGATTCAACCCGGGTGACGGACATCGCCGGATTATGCCTATTAATATAAATCTTGTACCTTCAGCCGAATCCCGGATCAGTTTGCCCCTTTGTTGCCTGAAAGAAATCGAGGAAAGTGGCTTGACAATTTTTGGAGGGGAACCAGGCCGGATCCCGAATCCGAGTCAAATCCTTAATTTAATTAAATTTCTTAGTTTGACTTTTTATATTTTGACATTAAAATGGCTAAATTCTAAACGGACCCTTATCAAATTAGTGAAATTATAAAATAGACACCCTAATATTTATAAAATGACACTTTTTAACTTCTTTTCTTATTTAAACCACGTGCTATTGAAACTTTTTTCAATTAAACCTTTAATAATAATTTTCTATTTCAATTTTAACCTAAATAATATGGTATTTTACACAATGTTGAATTTGTATTCACTCTGTCCTAAAATAACATTTTACTTTAGTGTCAATGACATTAAATAAAAATCATTTCAAAATAATAATGTGATTAGTAAATGCTAATAACAATAATTCAACATTGTACTACTTAGTTTGACTTAAACGACATCAGTTATTGATCAAATTTGTTCTTTTTATACATATACTAGTTAGTTTTACTTACATATAATCTGTTAATGGTCAAACTTATTTTTTTAACATATTTACTACTTAGTTTGACTTAAACGAAAACTATTTTTAATCAAATTTATTATTTTCTCATACGTACTACTTAATTTTACTTAAATGTAATTCTTATTGTTCAAATTTGTTCTTTTTACATTTGTATTACTTATTACTTAGTTCTTAAGAATAAATTATGTCTTTCACGGAGACAGTTCGTCTGAAAGTATATTGGAATACTACTTATACAACTGAACCTGTGGAATGCCCATTTTCTCATCCACCTGCTGACAGGACAGCTATTGATAAATTTTACAATCCATATGGAATTCGTAGTGTGCCTAAGATCAATTCTGATGATTCTGATAATGCGTAGTGATGATTCTGTTAGTGTTTGTATTTGTGTGTTGTTTTGAACATTCATGTAATAAATCTCAGAGGATGATTATGTTTGCATTTGTATTTGTGTTAGTGTGTTGGTTTAGATGTTTGTGTGATAAATTCTAATTTTGCGTTTATCAATAGAATGCTAAAACAGCGAAAACTGGAAATTTCAAAATGCGATTAAAAAGTTTAAGGAGAACGGGAACATTTGAATCGCATTTTAGAATTCGCGTATATTGTATATGACTCATCAGATTCAGCCAGATTCAGCCATGTGTCCAAATTCTGGTGGGTCACATTATTCGCATTTCAGAAACGCGAAATTTTGCCCGGTTTAAACATATTTCGCGTTTCTAAAATGCGAAATGTTTCTGCCTTACATAGAATTCGCATTTTAGAAACGCAAATTTTTGTTTATGTAATAAAACTAGGCAAAAGTCCAGGACTTGGACTCCAGTATAATTAACTTTAAACACCAATCATTTTCAATTTATATTAGTAATATTTTCTTAAAAAAAATGTCGGTCTTCGTCATTATGTATTAAAAATGTAGTACTAATTATTACTATAAACATGTCGTATAAAGCACTAATTATCTTGGGACGGAGTGAGTACAAATTTTAACATTGTATAAGCATCATAATTTTTGGGGAAGGTATATTATAAAGATATAAATCGGAATAATCAACAAATCCGATCTCGCGCTTCACAAAACAAAAAAAAAAATCATGTTACAAATCAGATCCCATCGACAAAAATGACCAAATTACCCCAAATAGGCAGGAGTCCAGGACTTGGACTCCAGTATAATGGACTGGATATTTATATCTTTTTGGTCGTTCGACTGATTTTTGTGAAGTTATTTAACCCACAAATTATATGCGTGTCAGAAACGCGAAATAAATCACGTTTACATACATTTTGCGTTTCGGAAACGCGAAATCCTGTGGGTTAAGTAAAATTCGCGTTTCATATAAAATTATTTTATAAAATAATGATTAAATTTTTAATAAAATTTTTTAAAAATTTATTATAATTTTTTAATATAATCATTATTAAAATATTAATATAATTTCTTAAAAATTTATGACTATATCCTTTTTTTATATAAATAAAATATTTTGTTTTATTTTTTCGCGCTTTAAAAACGCGAATCCTTATTTAATTAATTTTTTAATATTAATTAATTACGATTAATTTAAATTAATTAGAATATCTTATTATTAGCGTTTCTGAAACGCGAAAATGGTGTTTTAGTGTTTTCAAAACGCGAAATTTTTTTTTTAGCGTTTCTGAAACGCGATATTTCTTATTTTCGTGTGTTTGAACCATGAAAGAATTAGTTTTGAAGACAATTAAAACCCTACATCTATTTTGTTCTTCAAAATTTTTTTGAGATATATATAAGTAAATTTTCCATATATATATATATATATATATATATATATATATATATATATATATATAAAAGAATCAAAAGAAGTAATCTTCCCCGAATCAAAAAGAGCTTTCCGAGCGCTGGTCCAGCTGCTCCTCTTCTCGTGAAACCATGGATCGCCGGCCGGCTTCGAAGTTACTCCACCTAACATTCAACCAGGATGCCAGGTGTTTTGCCGTGGGCACGGACGGTGGATTTCGGATTTACACCTGCGAGCCCTTCGCGGAGAGCCTCCGCCGGGATTTCGATATCCCCGGCGGCGTTGGCACGGTGGAGCCGCTTTTCCGCTTCTATTGTATACCGATAGTCTTCGGTAAGGATGACCCGCAGTATCCTCCCAACAGGGTGTCGATATGGGACGACATACAGACCGAGTTTACCGGCGAGATCACGTTGCCATCGGATGTCCGTGGGATTAGGATTCGGAGAAATCATCTTGTTGTTGTACTGGAGCACACTGTTCGGGTTTACAGTTTCCCCGGTTTGAGACGGCTGAACGAGATCGGGACGATCTCAAACCCTAACGGACTCTGCGCTGTGTCTCAGGGCACAGACGATTCGTTCGTGCTTGTGTGTCCGGATTTACGAAAAGGTCAGGTTAGGGTTGATAACTTCACCGACAAGAAAACTAGTTATGTTAGGGCTCATGATTCCGCGATCGCGTGCTTAGCACTCTCTATAGACGGAAGATGGCTGGCCACGGCCAGCACTAAAGGAACTCTGGTCCGCGTATTCAATACGCATACCAGAGTTCTCCTGCAGGAGCTCAGACGGGGAGTGGATCAAGCTGAAATCTACAGTCTCGCTTTCTCCCCATCCGCCGAGTGGTTGGCAGTCTCCAGTGACAAGGGGACCGTTCACGTTTTTAGCCTTAAAACCGCGAATTCGGAGCCGGAACCGGAACCGGTCTCGTATTCCTTGTCTTCCTTTATCATGAAAGGTGTTTTGCCTAGGTATTTCAGTTCGGAATGGTCGGTGGATCAGTTTCGTTTGCCTCAAGGACGTAAATATATTGTTGCATTCGGGGAAAAGAAGGATACGGTGGTAATACTTGGATGGGATGGAAGCTTTTACAGATGCAAGTTTGACCCTGCGGCCAGTGGTGAAGAAATGACGCAGCTGGAATACCACAATTTCCTTGACCCGGAGGAGGAGGAGCCTTTCTAACTGGAGATCTCGTTTAGATGTATTCATATATTATTTGATTAGAAGTTGAGATCCTCAAATTAAGACTCCATCTAATTTATGTGCGGATGCCAAAAGATAATAATATCCTTTCGAGCTAGCTATGGAGGTCCTTTGTAAAATGTCAAAGTCTTTCCAATGCCTTTTAATTTATAATTCTTCTTATTTCGCATAAATATTTTCTTTTTGATATATGTGTTCTCTCATGAAGATTAATTAGTTCATCTGTAAATGCAATTCTATCATATACGTTTCCAAAAGTATCCATGTGCATAAAGAGATTGATTCCTTATAGGTGAATAGGTGATGTTTCTGGCTAGACATGTTTCGAATTGGGTTTCTCATGGCAGTTCTTGTGCTTCGTTCACTCACTTTGGATTTAGAAAAGGTACCTTTACCTTGAGGGTATGTAATGCTATTTTCTTTTCAATCAATAAAACAAAAAAGAAGCGATTTTCTAACTTTAGAAATACTAGGCACATTGTTTTTTAAATAGTTTTTTCAAATTTCAACAGTTCAGTGTGTTCATCTGGCAACTGGCAAGTCTTAGGCACGGTAATTTGAACTCTATTTTATTTCAAGAATAAAGAGTACGTATGATTCTTCCTAATTAAGACTTTTAACAATAACAATAATAATAATAATTCCATATGAACACCATTAATTAATAGTCTCCATTTGATGCTATTAGGATCTTGTTGAAAGAAAATAAACTTCTTTAAAAAAAAATAATGATGACTTTACATCTTTTTATTATTTATTTATTTATTTTGGCAATGAACTTCTTTGTATTTCGGATTGAAAAAGAAAAAGCTTTTCATTGAATCATTGATAGACCGGTACTAGGCTCTATTTGGTTTGTATATTGAAGAACAAAAAATTTTAATTCTGAACATAAATTTTTATATTTTCAAGTACTTTTTAATAATTGTTCAGCGTTCTTGCGACATTTGTTTTACATTTCTAACAAAACTATTCCCCAAAAAGTTTCTATATTTCAATCTTCATCAATACATTAAAATTGTGAGGTTTTATTTTTTATTTATTTATTTTTTTTACATTTCTAACATTTTTTAGTGCTTGTTTGGACGTCAGCTTACATTTCATTTTGCAACTTAAAAGTGGAGAGTGTTTCAAGTTGAAAATTAAATAGAAAATGAAAATGTTGTTTGGATGGTATTTTGAGCAAAATGTTGTTTGAATGTTAGTTTTGAAAAAAATATTTTGAATTACAAATGGTCAAAATGGTCACTGAACTACAAGGGTTTATTTGGACAACATTTTGTTTGGGTAATATTTTAAATAAAATAGACCACCACCGGACGACCTTCACCACCGACGCTGCTGCCAGACCGCCATCAACCGCCGTCGGCCGGCGACCGGCCAGCCGGATTCTGGCGAGTTGGCTGGAATCCGGCCCGCCGGCCAGTGGCAATACGGCGGCGGTGGGTGGCGGTCCGGCGACGGCGGCGGTGGTTGAGGTGGTCCAGTGGTGGTGGACGAAAATGAGACAAAATACAAAATATGGAATTGGCCAATCAAGAGCCTGTGAATTGTTAGATTTGGTCACTGAAATATTTTTAGATCTAAAATGGTCATTACACTAATAAAAAGTGTTTCAAGTTGGAATTTAAAATGTAAATCAGACCGTTATTTGGATAATTTTTCATTGAATTTTGTGTTTAAGAGGTAAAGTGAGATAAAATGCAAAATGGAATCTTGGCGAAACAAGCTCTTAATCATTTTGAAATGTGTGACCGTGCATAGCACGTGACTAATTAAGCAAATAGGTTCACGGTTGAAAATAAACAAAATATAAGGCTAATTTCCAACCCCCAATTCCCCCCACCCCACCGCTATCTCTTCTATCCACATCATTTCATCCCCAACCAACAAACTGCCCAAAGAAGAAGAAGAAGCAGCAGCTTTCTACTGAGCTTCATTAATCATCAACAATGGCTTCCTCTATTACAGCAACAATGGTATTCTCCTTAGGCTTAAAAGGACCACCTCAAAACCACTTCTTTAGAGCCGTTCAATTCCCTCCATTAGCCCAGAGACTTTCTTCAAATGTCAGCTTTACTCACAGTGTTTCTGGGTTGAGCCCACTTGTTCTTGGCAAAGTTCCCACCTTTACCTCTCCTTCTCAGAAGGATCGACAACCCTTTACTGTTTTCTCTGCGAAGAAAGGCTACAAAATGAAAACCCACAAGGTTAATTTTCCATCTTTGCTTGCTTGCAGTTTTTCTCTTTGTATTAGTTCTTCTGGGTTCTTTGGACAGGCTATTTGAAAAATTGAGTAAGTTTATTCTCTTGTAATCGGATTTTTAGGCTTCTGCAAAGCGGTTTAGGGTGTCTGGAAGTGGGAAGATTATGAGGAGGAGGGCTGGAAAGCAGCATTTGCTGAGAAAGAAGAATACTAAGAGAAGATTGAGACTGTCTAAAATGGTTTGTTTTCTTTCTATCTTCTGAATTCCCATTGTGTGATGTTGAATTATGTCCAATTATCCTCGGAACGTTTGGCTCTTTCTCTAATGTTGGTACAAATTGGATTACTTGTGATGTAGCTTTACTTGATTTTGTTCAGTTCTGATCTTAAGAAAAGTGGTTGTTGGTTGTTGTTCTGTGATTGAGTCTGTCGTTATCCATGTGTTAAGCCTTGACCACTCGTCATTTGGAGCGAACTGAGATGCGGTATGCCAGCCTTTATTGTGGCATTTTTATGGTTTGAATGCATTTAAGGTATTTGGAAGATCACTTTTGCAGTTTAAGAATAGAAATAAAGATAAAGATTAAATTTGCACAATTACCTGGATTTAGCCCCCAAAGAAGACCTGAACACTTCTGAAACTCTGTAACTCCTGTTTCAATCTGTCCCATAAGACTGTTTTCAACCATGGTTTTTCAACAAAATTCTCTGAGTGCATTTTGATGTTTGACTGGATGCCCGCTTGAGTTAAGTAGTAACTGAAAACATTTAGAACATTCTTCTAATTGTTGTCCAATAAGGATTGGTTCTAATTGATCAGATTGTGGTATTGTAATTTATCTGCAAAAAATGTCCTGAAACCGATATCAGGTGATGAGGAAAACTGCGACAATTTTAATCTCATTAAGTTCATGATTCTTAGTATTAAGACAGATTATTTTGATTGATTTTTTTTTTGGGTGTTTGGGGGAATAGAGTATATCAGAAGCGAGCTAATGACGAGTATGAATTTTGTTTCTAAGTTTTTGTTATAGAAGTGATGAATGCTGTTTTTTATTCATGTAAAGAGGCAGCAATGCATATGCTTCATGCATAAGTGAGTTGAAATGCGCTGTAGTTTGGGCACATATAATTTTCTTTATGATCTGTACCAAAAAGTATATGGCTCTATTTGTTAAGGCCGTCAGTAATTCAGTATTTGAAATTTAGATTATCACATCAGATAGCTATTTACTTGTAGAATAAAATGAAGGTGGATAAGTTGATAGTTATACTTCATTTAGCACGGAAATTGTGTCGTAGAAGTGTTAGTATATTCGTGCTGTATTGATGGTTTTCTACTAGTGTGAAATTTGAAAGATATGATTCAATTGGAAAAAGGTAATCGATCTCCAAGAACAGTGAGTATAATTTCAAAGAAGTATTAGAAGAATGGAGGACACATCCTTTTCTTCCTTTACTTCTAACTGATCTGATATTTTTAGAGTTAAACATTGGTTTTGTTTTAACTTGTAATTTGGAATTTTTCTTTTCAATTGACCATCCCAAGTTCATAAGGACAGCTCATTTTTACTTAGTGTACAGAAAAACTGCAAAGTCCTTGAAGAGAACCTAATTTTAGAATCAATAAAATTTGTGATATATGAGGATCAGCAGTAGTTGAGCTACAAGAAGTTAGCTGGTCTACAAGAAGTGAATAGAGTTGGGATCAGAGCTACTGGTTTTGTGGGGTCTACTGTGCATTAACAAAGGGATATCATATTTAATGGATCTCAGGAAACAATACTTGTCATTACGAATGTGAAATTCTCTATAACAAGCCCTGCCTTTCTGGGAAAAATATTATTCAAATCAATTCTTTATTGAAGTGTTTTGGCTAGCCAAAGAATGTTACTAGCGGTCCAGTGATGATATGTAAAATACAACAGGCTTGATAACGGGGGATTCAAATCCTCATCTAAAGGGCTGAGGCAAATTCTAATGGAACATAAAATGAAAGAATCAAATAAAGAAGAGTCTCTTCAGCATTAAGGAAGTATGTTTCTCTAATAACTTTTCAGAGAATGAAAATTTTGGAAGTTTGCAATGTTAAACTAATAATACTGGTGGTCAATGATGTCCTTTGGTTGGATGAAGTTAATTTAAATAAGATGCAGGTTGTTAATGATGGAAATTCCGTTACTTTTATTTGAGAGAGCGAGATAACGAATTTCATTGGCAGCATCAAGTTGAGATTTAAATAGATTGATGATTATCAGTATGTTAGTGTATGGGAATGGTGATAAGTGGAGATTTGCGGTTGAGATTTTAGAATGTTTTCAACTTCTTTGTTTGGTGAATGAATGCGTTTCATGTATTCGTGTCCTATTAGTTAATGCACGTACTGCAGACCAGAAAAGTGCACCTCATAAATAACGTTACAGAAGTTCCAACCCATCTTAGCTGATTCAGAGAACATCATTTCTATATTTGTGTGTATAAGATCATATAGGGATCCAAAATTTTTATAGAACGTAATGTATAAGTATCTATTTTTCACGAGTACATGACAGTTCTTATTACGGCTTTCTTTCAATGGTAGTTAGGCTATATAAAGCTTAAGCTTGTTTATGGCAAATGAAGCTCACTTCAGGCATTAGAATCTGTTTATGCATTAAAATCTGCATCTGAATGAAGATAAAATGAATTGTCTGTTGTCTTTCACTAACTGCTTAAGACTGCAACTGGAATTACTGGACTGTTTGTGATGTGAAACATAATCCATTCATAAACTAAAATGTGTGCCTTTTGTTTGGCTTTTTTTTTTTTTTTTTCCTTCCCTTTAAGTTTGAGATGTGGACCAACTCTGCTAAAGTTGCAGGCATGATCAGAAATAGTATATGGCTTTACACGAAAAAACAAAAGTGAAAGTTGATCCCCATATATTTCACATGTATTTCAGTCAGTTCTGCTGAAGGAAGAAACAAACTTCTGACTATTGATGCTCAAAAGTAGATCAGTGTAGAGAAAACTAAAATGATTCAAAGAATTTAACTAGAAACCTTGTATATAAGCAGGCATTACTGTCTTGATTAATTGAAACTTCATCCTCTTACATGCTTCGCAACTTTGGTGTAGGTGCAAGTTGATCGCAGTGACTACGACAATGTAATTGGTGCCTTGCCGTATCTAAAAGTAAACCGAGCTAACTAGATGGTGATGAGTTTAGATTGCGTTGCAGTGTATGAAATGTAACGCAAATGGTTGATTTTCTTGTGTTGGGGCTCATAGCTTTTGATGTAAAGAAGAAACACTGACTATTTTTTCTTGTTCCCTTTTAATTCAATCTCAAAAATTCTGCTGATTAGGTTGCTCTATTCCATATTAGAGGACATGTTCAGATTATTTAGTTGGGTTCTGTTTATCCAACACAAGCATTTTGTTATCTCACCCTAACAATTGATTCCACATCAAACATTGATTGAACGCATTGCATTTAGAGCCACGAACCCGATTTATCACAACAACCAAGGATCATTTCATGTAACATTCATCAGGTTCTGATACATGTGTTAATATATTTCCTTTAAGTGCTCATTGAACTGTTGTTAGTGTGTTAATTAGATTCCAAAAATTTCGATAACATTCAAAAGGATAAGTATCATTTCTTAACATCTCAAGTCAAAAAAAGGTGTTTCTTTTCCGTGGCTGAGCATTATCATTTTTGATGTGACAAAATCAATGGCACTGGGAAAGTGGTAAACTTTGCTTCCACTTGAATGTGCAAAGATAGTAACACGATAGTAATCAAACTAATCAATGCCATCTTATCCATGCCAGCATCACAACACATCTTAGTGGGTAGAAATAATGAAAAATCCATTGTGTTATTGTGTTTATTGCATTGCACTGTATGACATTACTATGTGGCGAACTTTCAATCCATACTTTTTTACCACGGAAGTGCCTGATATATTATTATGTTTTCTCTCTTATTTTTTTTGCCTTTTTTTTTCGCTGCTTTGGACCATTACTAATCTGTGTTGAATAGAAGATACCTTCCTTATTTCATGCCATAGACTAACCACCAAAAATGTAATAATTCTCATTTTTCTGTCACATGCTATTTTTTTTTTCTGGGACGGATAGAGTATTTAACTTAGCATTATAACATTCATATCATCCCATTTTTTCCTCCTTACTTTGTGTCACCATTCGTAGTGAAGTGGTAAGCAGTGTTGTCGACTGTAATGGAAAACAAAGAAGAGAGTATATGCATCATAGGAGCTGGAATCAGTGGCCTTCTTGCCTGCAAATATGTACTCTCAAAGGGCTTTTCTCCAGTGGTTTTTGAATCTTCCAGCTCCATTGGCGGAGTATGGACAAAAACACTTGGAAGCACTAAGCTCCAAACTACCAAAGGATTCTTCCAATTCTCAGATTTCCCCTGGTCACCTTCTGTTGATACAAATTTCCCCAGCTCACATCAAGTCTTGAACTACATTCGGTCCTACGCGAAACACTTCAATTTGTACCCGCACATCAGATTCAACTCTGAGGTGTTAAGCCTGAGCTATGAGACGTTAGATCAAAAGACACAAACATCCTGGACCAGTGACGGCTCTGGTGAGCTATTTAGCAGTAACGGGACATGGGTAGTGACTGTTCAAGATACTGAAACAGGATCTACTAAGATTATCCGGTTCAAATTTGTAATACTGTGTGTTGGACGATTTAGTGATGAGCCAAATGTGCCTGAATTCCCAGTAGGTAAAGGGCCTGAAGCTTTTCTAGGTAATGTCTTACATTCAATAGACTACCAAAACATGGATGACACCTCTGCTTCTGATTTCATCAAAGGAAAGAGTGTTGCCGTTGTGGGATTCCAGAAATCTGCCCTGGACATCGCGATGGAGTGTTCCAACACAAATGGTAAGCAAAAAATATCACTTCAGGTTCTCTGAGAAGTACCCATAGATCAACTGGATATAAATGGTGAATGTTAAATGGCAACATTCACCGTGAATATAAAATGATTTTTTGCAGTGATTGACTTAAACAACAACCTGAATTGGATGTAAGTCTGAAACCATACATATTTAAATTCAGTCTATATGAATATCATGCTCTAAATGTTTGAAACAGTCTTGCGAGTTTTCTTGTGCAGGAGTTTATCATCCATGTACACTTTTGTACAGGACAAAGCACTGGAATGTGCCTGATTACCTTCCATGGGGGATTCCATTGGGATTTCTGTACTTGAATCGCTTCTCTGAGCTTTTAGTTCATAAACCCAATGAAGGTTTCTTGTTAAGTCTCCTGGCAACTTTCCTTTCACCTTTGGTAAACACCAAAACCTTTTAACATACCTTGTCTTTGCTTTCGTTTCAATATTCATTTGTTTAAAAATCTACTTCCGCATGAAGTTTACTCATTCATCAGTTATTTACAGAGATGGATGTTCTCCAAACTTGTGGAAAGTCACATAAAAAATAAGCTGAGCCTTAGCAAATTCGGAATGGTTCCCGAACACAGTTTCCTGAATGAAATACACTCTTGCTTGATCTCCACTGTTCCCCACCGGTTCTATAACCAGGTAGAAGATGGAAGCATCAACCTCAAGAACGCCCTGAGCTTTGGTTTCTGTAAAAATGGAATCTTGGTTGGCAATGACAAGCAGGAAGAAGAGGAGGTGGTGGAGGCAGATGTGGTGATACTTTGCACAGGATTCAGGGGCATCAACAAGCTAAAACGCATCTTTGAATCTACCATTTTCCAAGATTACATTGCAGGGTCAAATGATGCTGCAGTACCTCTCTACAGGTATTCTTATCTTCTTCAACATGAAAAATTCTCGATAAACCAGTGACTTACTAGGCAATCACATAACTACCTTATTACAATAAAAGTTGGAAAGCGACTTTTGCGATTTGAAGCAGTGGCATCAGTGAGAATTGTCAGTTAATATCATTACTTTTTTTGTACATTTGTAGTAGTATTGATTAGCCGGTCGTGGTATTGATCATCAGGGAGTGCATTCATCCAAGGATTCCACAGCTGGCAGTGATAGGATTTTCAGAAAGCCTTTCGAATCTGTACACATCGGAGATGAGGAGCCGATGGGTGGCGGAGCTCCTCCTTGGCACCTTCAAGCTTCCAAATGTTGAGGAAATGGAGAAAGACATAGCAGCTTGGGATATTTTCAAGAAGAAATACTCTAGAAACTACTACAGAAGATCATGCATTGGTGCCTTGCATATATGGTACAATGATCAGTTGTGCAAGGATATGGGCTGGAATCCTAACAGAAAGAATGGTTTTCTTGCGGACCTGTTCCTGCCTTATGGCCCCCTCGATTACACCACAAAGGGGCCTGCCCCTAATCTCTGAGTCGGGATTTTGCGCACTCATGCTGCAACTCTTGGATAGTATGTAAATCAGCGGAATTGCTCAATGCTTGGTGTGATATCTTTGCAAATACTACTACTAGGCACTTATTCCAGATAATCTCACATTATGCACAGTTTTAAGTCACGAGACAATCCTTTGATTTTCTGCCAGTTTTCTCCATTGTGTTTGCTTTGTAAGTTGGAGTCGCTCCACATTTCGTACCATAGAAAGGTTCTCAACACTGGCGAATTGAACTTTCCTTCCATTACAAAGAAGTTGAGTCTATCAGATGGTCTGTGATTGGGAGATTTTATAATCTGGGGGGGTCCTCATATGAATTCTAGAGCATTTGATGGCTACAGATGAGAGATGGTAGTTGGAGAGTTTAGTGATCTTAAGTACTTGAAATTAGTACCAGGTATGTATTATCCTCCAGAATGCCCAGTGATCGCTTGCCCATTCAGGATCTTGTAGTGCATTAGTGCAAGCAGCTTGAGAAGATTCCTTTTGACTTCTCAAGTATCTTAACACTGCAGAAAATTAACCTTCAACAATGTGAAAAATTCCTGTTGAAGAGTCGGTAAGAAGGTTTGAGGAACTGCAAATCGCGGGGCTCAAGCTCGTTTTACACAACTCATTTTCAGCTTAGGGGAGATCATATGGATTTTATAAACATCCTTTTCTTTTCTAGTAAGTGACCATTCCATTCATCTCAATTCAAACAACTCATACACTGCAGGAGAGGACTGATTTCATTTAGTTTTTTGAAAATTGTTTATTTTCATATGAAGGCTCGTCTTTGAAGGGAGCTCTCTGGTCAGTTAAGTTTGAAAATTTTTCCTTATTACTTGCATGGGCTTGCTATGTATTTGATGTTTTAATAAGAAGTGCAGGCGTCGATGCATTACATGTGTGCATGACACTTCCATATGTATGACTCAAGGGCCTCAGATCTTGTGTCCAGATTTTGTCATTATTCAATAGCAGTTGAAAATCTTAGTTCAAGTACATCAATATATCATTGAATTGGATATCTATGAGATGTTTCAAAGTTTCAATCTTCTGTATGGATCATGGATGTATACAGATTGGCTTTGATCAATTGCACACATTGGACCTATCACAGGAATGCTTTAAATTTGGCTGCTGTTTTCCTCCTATATCAGCTTTTGTTATCCATAGTTTAGTTTGATACTGTCTAACACATTGATTATTTACTTGCTTCCTTATCTTTGTGTATTTGAGCGTTGTGATATACGCACTCAATTGCGTCTTTCTTCTTCACATGATTGCCAACTAGGTCATTACATTATCTTCAAAGCCTGGTACATCTGAAAACACTCTTCTTAGTCTGCTACATTCCGTTTTTAATATTTTTTGGTCCAAAATAGTTCATAATATGTAAAGTAGTGAAGTCTATTTCTTATCGAAACGTAAATTGTTTTAGTGGTCTATATGTGTCAAGGATAGTAAAGTTTGAAATGTAGCGGACTAAAATGAGTATTTTCTGCAGCAGCCACCAGAAGAATACAATTCAAAACTAATGTCACAGCAGTAGGTGCCCATCTTAGTTGGCTGATTCATCAAACTTCATTTCTATATTTGTATAAGTAGAAGGATCCATAAAAACACACGAACACAGAAAACAACAGTCCACATGGTTTTTTTGTCACTTTGATGTGATGACTTCATAGCTGATGAGACATTGAAACAGTTTAGAGGCATGAACCTGGGCACCACATCTGTAACATTTCAGTCAAAAAAGAAGGCTTCACAGCTGAGATAAACATTATCATTTTTGCCAAAGTCGATGTACACTACCGGGAAGGTGGTAAAAAAAGTGCTGCTTTCCAATTATTCAAAGTTTGCTACTTTTAGAAAGATAATGCTAATCAAATCAAACAATGTAATCATCTTATCCATGCCAGCATCACAGGAATGGGGAATAAAAGCAATTAAAAAAATCTATCCTTTGGTTATTAAATTGTAGTATGACAATAAACGCTCGATCCATAGTCCATACCTTGCCACACCAGTGTAAAAATTAAGATGATCCCATGTGTATTGAGATTGGAGAAGGAACATTTTCAGTACTCAGTCAAACACCATAGTTGTATTTTACTTTGCACATAACTTTCTAATCATATCCCATCAATTTTTTTCTTTTCTTTGTGTTACCACTTGGTAGTAAAGCATTGTTGCTATTGATTCTGATATGGAAAATAGGGAAGAGAGCATATGTATCATTGGAGCTGGAATCAGTGGCCTTCTTGCCTGCAAATATGTACTCTCAAAGGGGTTTTCTCCAGTAGTTTTTGAGTCTTCCAGCTCCATTGGTGGAGTATGGACTAAAACAATTGGAATCACAAAGCTCCAAACTCCCAAACCAATCTTCCAGTTCTCAGATTTCCCCTGGTCACCTTCTGTTGATACAGATTTCCCTACCTCAAATCAAGTCTTGGACTACATCCAATCCTACACGAAACACTTCGATTTATACCCTTACATCAGGTTCAACACTAAGGTGTTGAGGCTGAGGTTTGAAACACCAGATGAAAAGACACAACCAACCTTGGACTCTGGCGAACTATTCCGCAATAAAGGAACATGGATGGTGACCGTTCAAAATAATGAAACGGGTTCTACTGAGATCATCCGATTCAAGTATGTAATACTGTGTGTTGGTCGATTTAGTGGTGAGCCAAATGTGCCTGAATTTCCAGCAGGTAAAGGGCCTGAAGCTTTTCAGGGAAAAGTAATACATTCAATGGAATACTCAAACATGGATGATGCCGATGCTGCTGAATTCATCAAAGGGAAGAGTGTTGCAGTTGTGGGATTCCAGAAATCTGCCCTGGATATCGCGATGGAGTGCTCCACCGCCAATGGTAAGTAAATCAATCAGTTCAGGTACTCCGAATGGTTCCTAATTTCCTCAGAAACATTCCAGGTCAAATAGATGAAATGGTCTTTAGTAGCGAAACTTGAAATGATTTCTCATATTAAGTTACTTGCACAGTAACGGGATAGACAGAAATTTTCAGATCGTCCGGATTTTGAATCATTATTACCATGAATGTTATTGCTCTAAATGTATGTATCTATCTTGCGATTCTTCTTGCGCAGGACTGGATCATCCATGTACTGTCTTGTACAGGACAAAGCACTGGACCGTACCTGATTACCTTCCATGGGGTATCCCATTGGCATTTCTGTACTTGAGCCGTTTCTCTGAGCTCTTAGTTCATAAACCCGACGAAGGATTCTTGTTAAGTATCCTGGCAACTTTTCTTTCACCCTTGGTATAGGATCGAACACTTCTACAGACGTTGCTTTCTATTGCATTTTATAAATCTCTCAGTTATAATTCTACTCATCATTTTCTTTTTTTTTTCTTTTTTTTTGTTGTAGAGATGGATATTTTCCAAATTTGTGGAAAGCGACATCAAGAATAAGTTGAGGCTTACCAAATTTGGAATGGTGCCTGAGCACAGTTTCCTGAACGAAATGAACTCTTGCTTGATCTCCACCGTGCCTGATGGGTTTTACAACCGGGTTGAAAGTGGAAGCATCAACCTAAAAAACGCTCCCACTTTCGGTTTCTGTAAAAATGGAATATTGGTTGGCAATGGCAAAGATCAGGAAGCAGAGAAAGTGGTGGAAGCAGACATTGTGATACTTTGCACAGGGTTTAGGGGCATCCACAAGCTCAAACACATCTTTGAGTCTACCATTTTCCAGGATTACATTGCCGGATCAAATGATGCTGCAGTTCCTTTGTACAGGTACTGATTTTTTTCATCAATGTAAAAATTTCTCGGTGAATTCACCATTTTAAACACAGGATTAGTGAGACTGGTCAGGGAAAAAAAAAATTCTTATCGTTGTGGAGGTATTGTCGTATTGATTAACATGTGTCGGGATCATCAGGGAGTGCATTCACCCTAAGATTCCAAACCTAGCGGTTGTTGGATTCTCAGAAAGCCTTTCGAATCTATATACATCGGAGATAAGGAGCCGATGGGTGGCAGAGCTCCTCCACGGCACGTTCAAGCTACCAAGTGTTCAAGAAATGGAGAGAGATATAGCTGCTTGGGACAATTTCAAGAAGAAATACTCAGGAAAATACTACAGAAGATCATGCATTGGTGCCTTGCATATATGGTACAATGATCAGTTGTGCAAAGACATGGGTTGGAATCCTCATAGGAAGAAGGGCTTTCTTGCTGATCTATTCTTGCCTTATGGCCCCCTTGATTACACCACAAACGAGCATGGCCATTAATCTCCGAGGAGTGATGCTTCCCATTCGACAAATTTCTCGCAAATCCATTATGTGGGGTCGATTATATAGCTCATATGCTATCATTCTAGTTTGGAAAAACATATTACACGTTCAGAAAATAATAAAGTATTTTTGTGTGTGTAGGAAACCGATGCTTCCTACAACTTCTTTTGTTTCAAATTGGCAAGTAATGGTAAAGGACACTGATGCTATGAAGCCTTGAATTTCTATGTCAGGTATTGGATACAGTTTTGTCTTCTGGAAAAAATTCAGTGCATTCTCATTTGTTCTGTTGCTCTACAAATGGAGTAAATATTCGCTTGATTAGTGCAATAATATATGTGACAAAAATAATGAACTGCAAAGTGGTATAAATAGTTGGTACTTGGTAGTACCAATTATTTCAAAACAACTTGTTGGAGTAGAAAAACTAGATTAGTGATCAAATAAAACTATGACTAGGGGATAAAAATAATACAAAAATCCGTTACTTTTATTTTTATGGTACAAGAGACGAGGTAAAATGCTAAAATGTCAAATTAAAAATAACCATAGTTTCAATACTCTGAATGGATCAATTAGACATTGAAAGTCACCTAAATTAGCAATGGCCAAATATGTAAAATAGTTTATTGCAAAAGCTGATTATTGATACTAATTCCGTCCCAAAAAAATAGTCCACATTGAGTTTTCAAATTCGTACTAAAAATTCAAAATTCAATATGAATTTTTATTTTTTTTTGTGAGACGGAGGGAGTAATTCATAATTGTGCTCAAGTTCAGCCACCCAATTTCGACAATTTCCGTGACTGTTCGAACCAGGCCACTGTAGTCCAACTTTTTCTTCGTCAAATTTCACCATTGAAACCACATCTTGATTATCTACTTCCACTTTTTACTTGTGGACTCCCAAGCTCGCCCATTCTTTCATTGTACCGTACGACAATACTATGTGGTATCCCTTGGCTCCGTACTTTGCCAGTGTAAGAATATGACTTCATCATGATTGGAAGAACCACTTCATTATTTCAAGGCCACAAACTAACTGCCAAAAAAAACAAAACCAATAGTGTTCTAGCATTCTCTAATTACTCCATTTCTTCTCTTTTCTATTTTAGTTACCAATAGACAGTGAACTTGTTTCCATTGATTGTAATGGAGAACAGAGAAGAGAGCATATGCATCATTGGAGCTAGAATAAGTGGCCTTCTTGCTTGCAAATATGTACTCTCAAAGGGCTTTTCTCCGGTGGTTTTAGAGAAAAAACTAGTTTTTTTGATAAAAGATAAATTGTAGAAGAAGAGTTTTTTACTGAAGCTGGACTACTATTCTTTTCTTCTGTTTTTCGTTTCTTAATACAAGTAGTATGACTAGGTCTCTTTAAATAGACTTACAAATACTCATGTGATAAATAGTCACTATACAGATGATTATCAAATAACCGAACTAATATTTATCACATGATATTTATTAACAGAAGTAAAAGAGTATGGATCAGGATTGAGTTGGCCGTAACTGCTTGACACCAACCAAGGTTCCATGTTGAGCATGATCGTCCTTATCGCTCCAAAGTTTAACAGTCGCCTTATCACTCCTCATGTTCTGTAAATCAGACCTCTCTTGAGGGTTATCTTCAACATCCCCCCTCAAACTTAGCCGAGGTTGGAGGCTTAGTTTGTGTCTGAAGAACGGCAACATTGGTTTAGAAAGAGGCTTCGTAAAAATATCCGCAAAATGGTGTGCCGAGGAAATATGTTTGGTGACAAAAAGTCCATGGGCAACTCTTTCCCGAATAAAATGGTAGTCCAATTCGATATGCTTGCTTCGGGCATGGAAGACGGGATTGACTGTCAGGTACAAGGCGCTGAGGTTGTCGTAATACAGAGTTGGAGGCGCGGGAACAGGAACACGAAGGTCTTGGAGAACATAGGTGATCCAAGTAATCTCAGCAGCGGTGTGAGCCATTGCCCGATATTCAGCCTCTGTACTTGATCGAGAGACTGTACTTTGTTTTTTTGCACACCATGAAATTAGATTGGGTCCAAGAAAGGTGCAGTAGCCGGTTGTCGATCGTCGAGTAATAAGGCAGCCTGCCCAATCGGCGTCGGAGAAAGCCGTGAGGTGAGAGTTTGTTGAAGCTCGAAGATGTAAGCCAAGGTTGATGGACCCTTCAACATATCGCAGGATTTGATGGACGAGTTTCATGTTGGCAAGAGTCGGAGAATGCATGAACTGCGACACATAATTGACGGCGAATGCAAGGTCGGGACGGGTGAGGGTGAGATTCTGTAAGGCTCCGACAACACGGCGATAGCTAGATGGATCAGCAACGGAAGGCGACGTCGGGATGGTGAACTTCGTCTCCAGCAGTGTGGGCATCGGTTTGCAGTCCACCATGGCAAAGCGGTCTAGAATGTTGGCAGCATAATGCGATTGGGAGAGAAGAAGGCCATCATCTGTTGAAGTGACTTCAATCCCCAGAAAGTGATGAAGCGGACCTAAATCCTTCATAGAAAACTCAGAAGACAACACATCAATAAAGGAGTTAATAAGAGCAAAAGATGACCCTGTAAGCAACATGCCATCAACGTAAATCAACATGTCATCAACGTAAATTAAAAGGACTAGAGTACCATGAGAGGAATGATATGTAAACAATGACGGATCAGCCAAGCTACACCGAAAGCCATAAGTGATGAGAAAAGTACTTAGCCGATCAAACCAAGCTGTGGGAGCTTGTTTTAAACCATAAAGAGAACGGTGAAGCTTGCATACATAAGTAGGAAAACGAGAATCAATGTGACCCGGAGGATGGTCCATGTATAAATCTTCAGAAATATAGTCATGTAAAAAAGCATTTTTAACATCAAGTTGCCGAATAGGCCAATGATTCATAAGAGCAACCGATAAAATCAATCGGATTGATTGATTCTTGCTGGACTTGGATGATCCAGAAACAGTGGGGCCGGAGCTCGAGGAATTGGAAACTAAAATGCTGAAATTTCTTGTTTCGATGTTCCGTTGGTATACGGAGTGACCCGAGAGACAGTTCCGCGCATGGTTTTTAGAAAAGCTGGATCATCTAGTTTATTTGTTTTCGAAGTCGGAACTGAAGTCTTTTTCGGTTAGTGGTGGCTCCTTCCTCTCTCAAGATTGTTCTGAATATCTTGGTCTTCTATACCTGAGCAAGGATTTTGCAATGTCAACATTTCCAGAAGTAGGAATCCATATGATCAAATATCCATATCAAGATCATACAAGCTGTGTTTGGTCTAGGCTTAGAGCACCTCTGAGGCTGTCCAACGTGGATTCCAACACAAACTTCCAGAGGAGGTATATCAGTTCGAGCAATAAAACATGAATGTAAGCTAACACGAAGAGGGAGTCGGTAAAAACATTTTCACTCTTTATGTCCAGCTGAATAATGTTCCTATCATTCAGTTTCATCAATGAAAATGCCACATCTCCTTTTATGAAATCCATAAATATGGCCAATTGCAAGATGCGGACATCTGGGCTTCCATTCGGTGATGCAGCCAATTTGGATGAGACTTGATGACCATAAAAATTTACAATGCAAGAATGCGTCAAAGAACTCAACATTCTGGCTTTCCTTTAAACAAGAGATCTCAAGATTCCTGATATCTTCTGCAGAACTCCCGATGTCTGCATATACTCCAAACTACAGGCTACCAATGCCAACAACAATAGATTGAAGTCTTCCCTTCATAGATTGCAGTCCCCTCTCGCATATATCATGGAAAGCAATATCTCCAGCAGCATCCAGACTCCTTAATGGGTCTTTCATTTCTATCATCATTGCCTGTTGGGCAGGTGCAGACAAAAGGATTTCCAACAATTTGAAATTTTGAACCAGATACACCCTTTCTTGCTTTCAGAACAACTGCACTTTTGTCACTACCACCAAAATGGTCAGAAACAAATAAAAAAAAGGCAAGCAAGGAGCAATCTGAACATTCTACCCCATCCATCTCTGCAGAACTGACAAACTCATCATTCGACAATCTTCTCCATTTCCTTCTAAGTTGCAGAATATCCATCAAGGTATTTGACGAAAACACAAAGCTAATTGTTCTGAAGATTTATCCTCTTAAGGTTATAAATTGATTCAAGTTCAAACCAGACGAAAAATGTCAACCTGTTGTATGAGAGATCCAAGTTCTCTAATCTTTTCAGGGAAGACAGACCAAACGGGAACTCAGCTAAGCAAGCTCGAAAGACACTAAGGCGTTCACGAGAGTTATCTCAGTTGGTAAGTTCATCTTAACTTACAAACTAAAGGTCCAAAATACTCCAAATTACATAGATGGCCAATTTCAGGAGGAAGGTAGCTGATCGAAGAATGACCAACAGTCAAGCTCTTCAGAGCAGCCACGTCACCCAAAACAGGAAAGGAAGGTGGCCTGGAAGGTACTCTACTCAGCTCCAATTCTTTCAAATACTTCAAGTTCCCAAAATCTAACCCACTTAACCCAGGTGCCATGGCATCTTTCACTTGCGTGCACTCCGACCCATTCAAATAACTGAACTCCTCAGGAAACAAATTCAAATATACAGGGCAACAAAGGAGTAAAGGGAGCTTATACAGCCTTTAGAACATATTTACTGATTTCAAACAGGAAGAAACAATATGAAACTCACAAATCACAGTTCCAGACCAAATAGAGGTATCTGAAGAACCAAATTGAGGTACCCAAAGTGGCTACATGAGTTGCAAATTTGACTTAATCAAGATCGTGTTGTATTTATATATTCATTCCGATACTCGTGTTTATTGAGCATTACTTGTAATATAGAAACAAAAACGACCTAAAAATGATAATTATGTCAAAGAAACTGGTTATGTCATTCAGATAGTACAGGAATCCCTAAACCAACCAACCAACCAACCAATCGAATTGGATGGAGGTCAAAGCTTTATAGAAATCTCTCAAAAGTCATAATAATCTGGATGAAGAGCACCAACCAGCCAATTAAAAAAGCTTTACAGAAATCTCTCAATAGTCATAATATTCTGGGCGAGGAGGTACATAACATCGTACACCTTCGTCAATGCAGGAAGGATGGTCACAAAGAACACGTTTAAAGCAGCAAGGAAAAAGGCAACGCTCACCATCCTTTGCTAACTTCGCTAACTTCTTGTCAACTCTGGATTGATGCTCACTTTTAAGTTCACAAGAGAGCACCCCTACCACAAGTCCATCTGCGGGTGGACGTTTAAGAGTGCCATACCGAGCTCGAAAGACTTCAGAGATGATGCTGGATGAATCATCAACCGGCTGAGCTTTGCCCTTGAAGGTAATGTAGAATCCACGATAACCAAAAGCCACAGGGATACATGTGATGTACTCTACTTCATCAAACTCAAATGCTTTGTACCCTGGTTTCTGCACAGACACAGACATCAGATATTTATTATTAGCAACCAAAATAGAATCAGCAAATCAAAGAAGAGCACAATGGCAAAGGAACTAAACAAATCAATGAATGTATGTATGTACCTGATCATGAGTTCTGTTGAAAACTGCAAGACATTCCCCACACCATTCAACGATTTGCTCGGGGGTTGAGTATTGAGTTTTTTTCATGTGCGTCCAAGGAATGAAACATGAATTTATGAGACGGACAGGACAAGTAGTCACCAAAAAACCCTGAGCAAAACAAAGATGTAAGAATAATTAATTAGGAAATATTACAGATAAAATCAGAAAATAACCTTAAGAATTGAGAAGAAAGGGGACTACAGTGTACATGAACTCACCCGACTCTCATGGACTTCCTTTTGGTATCTCTTCTTGTCCTCGACTTTGTGGTAACCCTAGGAAACCATAAATCCCCCTCGATGTCCGACTCCGATTCCGACTCGGACTCCGTCTCTGTCTCTGACTCGGACTCCGACTTCGACTTGAAGATTGGTGGCGGTGATGATCTCCTCGTCCTCATCCTCCTGTGTGCTGGTGAAGATTTCTCCGCCAAGGCAATAATGGATATTGGGCAGTCAGAATGCGATCCAGAATCTGTCTCCGATTCAGACTTCAAGATTGGTGGAAGTGGTGGCCTCCTCGCCGACCTGTGTGCCGGTGACGATGATTCATCGAATTTCCGTGCCTTCGTAACTGGTTGGTGGTTATCGACGTCGGAATGGGTCTCATCATCTCCTCCCATCGCCGCCGCGTTTCTCAGCTACTATTCAGGAAATTTCTTTTTTGAGTTTTTCTAACAAATTAGTATTATACCCGTACGGTGCGCGGTGAAAAATCCAGTTTAACATTTGAAATATTTCTGTTAATTATATAGAAAAAAATTGGGAAAGTTTTCAAAAACGGCATTGGAAAAATAGAAATTATTATGAAGGGCATGATATTTATTTAGTCATGATTATTATTTATTAGAATTTTTTTAATCTTCCTAATGACTATTTTATCCTTTTCTTAAATAGAACTATTGACATCATCTTTTCTTCTTCATCGTGTTATCTTCTTCACAAACCATAACCTTAATTACAGATCTGTAGCCCTTTGTTCATGAGTCATGATCATTAATGAATTGCACAAGGAATATGAATATCCATAGCTTTCAAAACATTCTTGGCTCCGTGTGGTTATCATTGTAGATCTTTGGCTATACTTTCTGAGGCATGTTATCTCGTAATTCCTTGTAAAATAAAAGTAGATTCCATCATATTACTTTTTCTCCAAACTAATATATCATCATTTTCTTTTAGCTAGTTAATTTCCCATCATATTGATAGAATTATAGTTGTTACTCTGAAGTTGCTCCTTCCAGATCTACGGAAAGTTGTCAATGATGGTGAAACTGATGAGAATGGATAAATAAAACTTGATGAGATGCAGTTTGAAAACATGCTTATTTGGATCAAAATTAATCTCCACATTTGACTACCTGGATTGTCTAATGAATTTGTAAAGTCGTCACTAATCTCATCTCAAATTGAATCCTAAAAATGATTCAAACTTAGGTTGGGATACGAGCGGCTCCGATTGAAGTTAATCGGAAAAAAAAATTTTAATTGCCAAATGTTAGGGTATAGCAATAAGGATATGACCGTAATTTGATATTGGGAAAAATATTACATGTGATTAAACATATTTATTTAAATGTAAATAAAGGCTATGCCCGTTTTTAATAATTTTCATCTTTCCAATGCCCCTAATGAGATTTTTCCTAAAAAAAATTTAGCTATTTGTATGAATGATGATTCAGTACTATTTATTTACTATATTTGGCAGCCCGGCCATTAAACAAAAAAACGAAACGGAAAGAAATACTAAATACTACTTACTTGTTCAAAGAAAAATTATTTGCCCTTAATTTTTAATTATGAAAGGGCCATCTTTTGATGAGTTTTATTTGATTTTAATTTTCATATCGCCATGCTTAAAAGATTATTTGTCCTTGGCAAGTTAAAAACATGCAATGGTTTTTGTTGCTAGTTCAATATTTTCGACAACCCATTAAAAAAAATGCAGCGGGTCTCATTCCCTCTTCATTTACATTTTTAAAATCATGTCACTCTATATTGTCCAGTTTAAAGGTTCCATGTTTTTAATAGAATAAAAATATGCAATGGTTTTAACTGCTATTTTAGTATTTATAACAGCTCGCTGAACCAATAAAAGAAAAAGAACCAGTGGTCTCACTCCATCTTCACTTTAATCTTTCACAACATGTCACTTTTGTTATCTGACTTAAAAGGTTCCGAGTTGTTGGTAGCTTTTAAAAAATTGACATAGTTTTGTCTACTATATTAGTATTTTTGATACACCGTTAAACCAAAAACGAAAAAAAAAGCCTTATTCCATCTTTATTTTCACTTTGTATATTAATGTTTAAAAGGTTCTAAGTCTTTAATAAGTTAAAAACTTGCGATGTTTTTGGTTGATGGACGTGTTGCCAATAACAACACATGGGAAAAAAACATTAAAAATTTTCAATCAATTTAATTCATAAAACGTAAAAACACGCAATAGAAAAGAAGAACAACTTAAATAATAATTATTGTAATTGGATTTATAAATAAAACATTCGTATTTAAGAATTTCTGATAGTCTCATTTGATATACATTGTCATCTTTAACAACATGCCACTTTGCATCGTCCTACTTAAAAGTTCTTAGTCTTTTGTAGGTTAAATACCTATAACAATTTTGACTGCTATTTTAGTATTTTTGGTAATCCGTTGAACCTAAAATAAAAACCAGAAGAATAAGCAAGAACTATTTGTTCAAAGATGATACTTATCGATAAATCAACAGTTTAGTATTTTTGATAACCCGTTGAATAAAAAAATTGGCGAGTCTCATTCTATATTCATTTACATTTTTAACATCATGTAACTCTGTATCGTGCTGGTTAAAGGTTCCATATCTTTGGTGGGTTAAAAATCTGCAACAGTTTTAGCTGCTATTTTAGTATTTATAATAGCCCGTTGAACAAAAAATTAAAAAGAACGGGTGGATTTCATTCTATCTTCATTCTTATCTTTAATAACATGTCACTCTGTATTATCTCATTTCAAAGGTTCTGATTCTTTGGTAGGTTAAAGAATTGTAATGATTTTGTCTGCTATGTCACTATGTATCGTCCTGTTTAAAGGTTCTATGTTTTTGGTAGGTTAAAAATCTGCAATGGTTTTAGCTGTAATTTTAGTATCTATAACATTCCGTAGAACCAAAAAAAAAAAAAAAAAGAACCAGTGGGTCTCATTCCATATTCACTTTTATCTTTAACAACATGTCATTCTGTGTTATCTGACTTAAAAGGTTCCAAATTTCGGTAGGTTTTTCAAAATTGACATGGTTTTGTCTACTATATTAGTATTTTTGACACCCCGTTAAGCCAAAAAAGAAAAAGAATAACAAAAGAGAAAAGAACCGATTCTTATTCCATCTTCATTTTCACTTTCAATACCATGTCACTTTGTATATTAATGTTTAAAAGGTTCTAAATCTTTAATAAGTTAAGAACCTGCAATGGGTTTGGTTAATGGACGTGTTGCCAATAACAACACATGGGAAAAAATATATTAAAAAATTCAATCCAATTTAATTCATAAGACTTAAAAACACGCAATAGAAAAGAAGATCAATTTAAATAATAATTATTGAAATTAGATTTATAAATAAAATTTTCGTATTTAATAATTTCTGATAGTCCGTTAAACTAAAAAGGAAAACAAAAGGTTTCATTCGATATACATTTCATCTTTAACAGCATGTCACTATGTATCGTCCTACTTAAAAGTTCTTAGTCTTCGGTAGGTTAAATAGTTAAAACGATTTTGACTGCTATTTTAGTACTTTTGGCAACCCATTGAACCCAAACGAAAAAAAAAAAAAAAAAGAATAAGCAAGAACTATTTGTTCAAAGATGATACCTAAATACTGTGCAATCAATGTGAAAGTTATATATGATCCTGAAGAACCAATATTCAGACCTTATGACAATTGCACAAAGATTGGAGACACACTTGGAGACATAATTGCCTGGCCAATGTCAATGGTATGGTTTTCCTAGCTATGAAATCATATAATTTGCTAAATTTAGTTGAATATTTGTTAGTTATGTTCTGATGAATATTTACACGGCATATGCAGGTAAAACCAGCTACTGAACATTGACTAGCATTTCTAGCACTACATTTGATTGGCATCTCCAAGGACGTACGTACTGCAGGGATGCTACAATATTGATCTCATTATTAGATTGTTTGAGTTCTTTTAAATTTATGATGAAATTGAACACTAGTTAGTACTTTTTTTTTAGAACGATTCGCACATTGATTCAATGCAATTTCAGACAACCGATTTGGATGGTTTATAATTATGTTCTATTAATTGATCTTACATATCCCTTTATCTATTGTTTGGTTAGTGAACTGTATTCAATAGTAACTTTTTCTTTACTATTTGAATTAGTTTATTAGAAAATAATAATTAATGTATTTTATATTGTGATGACAAAATAATAAATAAATATATAACTGAATATTCTCAATGAAAATAACATACGCAATCATAATAAAAAAGAAAAACAAAAAAAAAATAAAAACCAACGTGGTGGTTAAATATTCTAAAAATAGATACAATTGTCAGAATACATATGTTTTTTAGGCACTACATAGTGTCTTGTTTATTTAATAGTGCCTTAAATTATTTTATAAATGAAGACATGTAAAGTAGTTTTAGGTGCTTTTTTACCACATTTTTTTGTGTCTTTAAAAATTACTTTGCATGACAATTAAATGTCTTTGAATGGTACATAATATTACAATGTCAAATGTCTCTATAGTTTATCTTTGATGACACTCCACCTATCATAAACCCGACGAAGGATTCCTGTTAAGTCTCCTGGCAACTTTTCTTTCACCCTTGGTACAGGATCCAACATTTCTACATACATTCTTTTTTATTGTATTTTATAAATCTCTCAGTTATAAATCTACTCATCATTTTTTCTGCAGAGATGGATATTTTCGTAATTTATGGAAAGCGACATCAATAATAAGCTCAGGCTTACCAAATTCGGAATGGTGCCTGAGCCTAATTTCCTGAACGAAATAAACTCTTGCTTGATCTCCACCGTGCCCGATGGGTTCAACAACCGGGTTGAAAATGGAAGCATCAACCTCAAAAACACCCCCAGTTTTGGTTTCTGTGAAAACGTGATCTTGGTTGAAAATGGCAAAGATCAGGAAGCAGAGGAAGTGGTGGAAGCAGACACTATGATACTTTGCACAGGGTTCAGGGGCATCCATAAGCTCAAACACATCTTTGAGTCCACCATTTTCCAGGATTACATTTCCGGGTCAAATGATGCAGCGGTTCCGCTATACATGTACCTTTTTTTTTTTCTTTCATCGGTGTAAAAATTTCTCGACGAATCAGTGACTTTACATACCTACATTATGACAATAAAAGCAGAAAACAAGCTCACCATTATAAAAACATGTGTTGGGACTGGTCACAGATTTTTATTTTTCTTACCGTAGAGGTGGTATTGATTAACATGTGTCAGGATCTTCAGGGAGTGCATTCACCCTAAGATTCCAAACCTGGCGGTTATTGGATTCTCAGAAAGCCTTTCGAATCTGTACACATCGGAGATAAGGAGCCGATGGGTGGCAGAGCTCCTCCACGGCACCTTCAAGCTTCCAAGTGTTCAAGAAATGGAGAGAGACATAGCAGCTTGGGACAATTTCAAGAAGAAATAGTCTGGAAAATACTACAGAAGATCATGCATTGGTGCCTTGCACATATGGTACAATGATCAGTTGTGCAAAGACATGGGTTGGAATCCTCATAGGAAGAAGGGCTTTCTTGCTGATCTATTCTTGCCTTATGGCCCGCTTGATTACACCACAAACGAGTATGGCCACTAATCCCCGAGGAGTAGTGATGCTTCCCATTCGACAAATTTCTCGCAAATCCATTATTTGAGGTCGATTATATAGCTCATATGCTATCATTCAAGTTAGGAAAAACACATTACACGTTCAGAAAACAATAAGGTATTTTTGTGTGTGTAGGAAATCGATGCTTCCTACAACTTCTTTTGTTCGAATTGGGAAGTAATGGTAAAGGACACTGAAGCTATGAAGCCTTGGATTTCTATGTCAGGTATTGGATTCAGTTTTGTCTTCTGAAAAAAATTCAGTGCATTCTCATTTGTTCTGTTGCTCTGCATATTCAGTGAATTTTAGTTCAGAATGTAGGAAATTTTGATCTTTTTTTTTAATCAAAATGGCATATATATAACATTTACAGGCTACACGCCAATCATCCATGAACACGCTACTCCTACAATATCGTGGTTTAACCACCAAAATACGCCTGGTGGGGGGAGGGGGAATCCATCCTTGTTAAACCGGATGGATTCACCTCCGCCAACAATGCCAAGTAATCGGCGACAAAATTACTTTCTCTAAAGACATGAGCTAACCTAATCGACCAACATCTGTCCATCAGCTCCGGATTGCTCCCAGAAGGCCATAGTGCACGCACGGTGACCTCTCCTTGTCAAGAATCATTTGCAAAATACTCAGGTTGTCCACCTCCGCTTCCACTCTTCTAAAACTTTTATCCCATGCCAGAGAGAGGCCCTGAAAAAGTCCCCAAAGTTCAGCTCCTGTTATAGTGCAATACTCTATGTTCATAACAAATTCCCCACACCATCTTCTATGATTATCCCTAATTACTCCCCCTGCTGTTGCCAGGCCGGTTGTTCCATTCACCGCCCCATCTGAATTCATTTTCATCCATCCATCAGCGGGGGGAATCCATCGTACCATAACCTCCTGTTTAAGTCTGGCAGGGGCCCCCATGGCTCTTCGATAGTTCTCCCCATCCCTGATCTCCTTCTTTTTCTGAACAATTTCCCATATTTTCCTGTTGATTGGCGTGGTCTCCTCTGCAAACACCACCGCATTCCTTCACTTCCAAAGCTTCCAAATAGTAATTCCAAACATAATCAGCCAATCCCCATCAATTCTAGCTCTATTTTGGAGATTCTCGATCATCCAATCTAGCACTGGAGTTGAGAAGAATTGATATAAAAGATTCCCAGGAACTAACCTCAACCAAACCTCCCTTGCTGCTGAGCAATCCCTCACAGCATGAATTGCCTCCTCCTATAGAGCTCCACATACCGGGCATGCTTCATCCTCTTTCAAGTGCCGGCGGCTTTGTTCCGCATTGGTCAGGAGTCGTTCCTTTGCTAACAGCCATAGGAACGTTCTGATTCTTTGTGGACCCGCCCAACACCATATATACTTCCAAATGATCTCCCTGTATGGCTGAGATTGGTGCTGCAACGCCCCATACGCCATCCTGATCGAGAAGCATCCTGTTGAGGTGAATCCATATTAATACATCCTCCCCCAACACCGGGTTTGGAGGTGAGGCAACCGGAATCTGCAACAGTACTGATGCTGTGAGTCGATTAGAAAACATGTTCCATTTCCAAAGCCCCCATTCATCGACAAATTGATTCACTGTCAGATGAAGTTCAGCTTGAGGAATTTAAGTTAAAGCTATGGTGTAAAGCGGTGGTAACCCTACAACCGATTGATCAAGCCAAAACCTGGCTGTAGCCCCATTATTCACGACTCATCTACATCCTTCCTTCACTTGGGCCCAGCTCTTCTTAACTCCCTTGTAACATGGTGTAGCATTGGGTTTATGAGGGAGCACTAGCCCATTTTCAAGTTTGATACCATATTTTTCCTTTATCACTTTCACCCACAAGGCCTGATCATCAGTTAGCATTTGTCATCCCAGTTTCATCATGAATGTCAGATTCATGTATCTTTGTTTTTTGAGACCCATACCGCCCTGGTCTTTAGCCCAGCACTTCTGCTCCCATGGCACCAAACTCAGCTTCCTTGTGTTCGTATCTCCACCCCAAATAAACCTTCTCATTTCCTTTTCCAGATCATCACAAACCGAGACCGGTAATAACGTTGACTGCATTGAGTAATACGGCAAGGAACTTATAATTGACTGAGCTAATGTAACCCTTCCAGCCAGGGATAAGCTAGACGGATTCCATTTTCCCAATCTCTACTTCGCATTCTCTATAATACCCCCGTAGGTCCCTTTCATTACCCTACCGTTAATCAAGGGCATTCCTAAATATTTCCCCAGATCTTCAACAGCCGAGAACCCCATTTTATCAGCTAAAGCCATCCTTCTTCTATAGTGGACATTTTTTGAGAAGTGGATTTTCGTTTTCATGGAGCTGATTTTAAGACCTGATGACTTACAGAATTCAGAAAGGACCTTACTGACTATTGCTGCTTGCTGTTCAGAGGCTTCCATAAAAAGGAAGATGTCGTCCGAAAATAGGAGATACGGAAACTTCACTGTGTTTCTACCAAAAGAGATCGGCCGCCATTCACCCTTCTCAACCCTTTCAAGGATCGCATGCGCCAGCCTTTCAACACATAGTACGAACAAATACGGGGAGATTGGATCCCCTTGTCGTAGGCCCCTTGTTGTTTTGAAGGCCTCCAAAGGTTCACCATTCCATAACACCTTCATGGAAGGGCTAGAAACACAACACATAATTGATCGAATAAAGCCCTGTAGGAAGCCTGCCCTTTGGAGAGTATCTTCCACGAAATCCCATCTAACCATATCGTATGCTTTCTCTAGATCGATCTTCAAAGCCATGAAACCACGTTTCCCCCCCTTATTCCTCATGGCATGAATAACCTCCTGTGCCACAATGATGTTTTGGTTTATATGCCTTCCTGGGACGAAACTTGTTTGTGCACTCCCAATCAACTTTGGAAGTATGGGCTTAATACGATTAGCAAGAAGTTTTGTCGCAATCTTGTAAACTACGTTACATAGACTAATAGGCCGAAACATCCTTATGGACATCGGATTATCGACCTTTGGAATCAAGGCAATCAATGTCTGATTAAGTTCTTCCGGCTTCCCTTCACCATCCACAATAGCTTGCACTGTTCTACACACTGTATCTCCTACCACAGGCCATTGTTTTTGAAAAAAGAGAGCGTGTAACCCGTCTGGGCCTGGAGCCTTTAATGGGCTCATTTCATTTAAGGCCTGTTGAATCTCCAAGTTCGTGACTTGACTCCGTAGTAGCTGGCTTTGGCTAGGTTCAAGCCTGGGAAAGCAGATAGTTGTAGAGAACCCAACATACGGTGGCAGGTCAGTAGCATATACCTCTTTGAAGAAACGTGTGGCCATCCTCCCCAATTCCAACTGATCATCAATCAAAACCCCATCATCGTTGATCAGAATCCCAATCTTGTTCCTTCTCTGTCTACCCTTAACAAAGCTGTGGTAGAACCGTGTGTTCTTGTCCCCATCAAGTGTCCAATCCCTAGTCGACTTTTGGATTAGCAGTGCTCGTTCCTGCATTAGTAGCAAATCCATTTCTTTGTTCAGTTCCAATTCTAGATTATCTAGCCACTGAGAGTCGTATGATTCCCTAGCCCGCTATATCCCAGCAAACCGAGCTATCACCATCCGTTTCTTTCCAAGAATATGGCCGAAAACATCTCTGTTCCATTTAGTTACCAACTCCCTGAACTTTGCAGCTACCTCCGTGTACGGAAGAGATGAATCCCAGGCTTCTCCAACAAAGTTTAGAAAGTCCTCATGGAGTAATCACGCTGCTAGGAAGCGAAAATGGCTCATTCTTCTTCCCTGTACTTGTGAGGATCCAAAGCTCAAAAGAAGAGGATTGTGCTCTGAATTTCTTTTCGGTCTACGTTACCCGGACTCGGCCCTCCAGAACAAAATACCCGTGTCGACGCGAGTCGACACCGACATGGGTATGAAATCCGTATGGGATGCGGTCAAAGAAGTTTGGGTGCGTTGACTATATGAAGGGTGATTTTGGCGATGAAGGCTCAAGAGAAATCTGGCGCCCGAATTTCGCGCTCATCCAGAATTTATGTGACAAAAACAATGAACTGGAAAAAATGGTATAAATATTTGGTACTTGGTAGCACCCATTATTTCAAAACAAGTCGTTGGACTAGAAAACTAGATCAGTGATCAAATCAAACTATGTAAAATCAGTGATCAGTGATCAAACAAGAGACAATGTGAAATGCTAAAACATCAAATTCAAAATAACCGTAGTTTCAATACTCTGAATGGATAAATAGACATTTGAAGTCACCTAAATGAACAATCAATATGTAAAATTATTTATTGCAAAATTTCATTATTGATAATTGTGCTCAAGTTCAAACTTCAAACCACCCAATTTCGACATTCCGACCAGGCCACTGTAGTCCAATTATTTCATCGTCAAATTTCGCCATTGAAACCACATTTTGATTATCTGCTTCCACTTTTTACTTTGTGGACTCCCAAGCTCGCCCAATCATTTGTTTCTTTAATTTTACCGTACGACAATACTATGTGGTACCCATTGGCTCCGTACTTTGCCCGTGTAAGAATAAAGATGACTTCATCATGTTTTGTGTTGCTTTTTTTTTTTTTACCATAATTCATGTGTACAGAGATTGGAAGAACCACTTCATTATTTAAAGGCCACAAACTAACTGCCAAAAAAGCAAAACCAAGTGTTCAAACATTTTCTATCCTTCCATTTCTTCTCTTTTCTGTTTTAGTTACCAACATGCAGTAAATTTGTGGCCACTGATTGTAATGGAGAATAGAGAAGAGAGCATATGCATCATTGGAGCTGGAATCAGTGGCCTTCTTGCCTGCAAATATGCAGTCTCAAAGGGATTTTCTCCGGTGGTTTTTGAATCTTCCAGCTCCATTGGTGGGGTTTGGACTAAAACAATTGGAACCACTAAGCTCCAAACTCCCAAACCACTCTTCCAGTTCTCTGATTTCCCATGGTCTTCTTCTGTTGATACAGATATCCCTACCTCACATCAAGTCTTGGACTACATCGAATCCTACGCGAAACACTTCGATTTATACCCTTACATCCGGTTCAACACTAAGGTGTTGAGCCTGAGGTTCGAAACACCAGATGAGAACGCACAATCATCCTGGAATCTGTGGGGCGGCTCTGGCGAGCCGTTTAGCAATAATGGGACATGGGTTGTGACTGCCCAAGATACTGAATCGGGTTCTACTGAGATTATCCGGTTCAAGTTTGTAATCCTGTGTGTTGGTCGATTCAGCGGCGAGCCTAACATTCCTGAATTTCCAGCAGGTAAAGGGCCTGAAGCTTTTCAGGGCAAAGTAATTCATTCAATGGACTACTCAAACATGGATGATGCCGCTGCTGCCGGATTCATCAAAGGGAAGAGTGTTGCTGTTGTGGGATTCCAGAAATCCGCCGTGGATATCGCCATGGAGTGCTCCACTGCCAACGGTAAGTACATAGCATGACATTTATCCTGAAAACTTGCAATGATTTCTCACAATAGGTCAACAGATGGCGAATCGGTCTCTGTGAATAATGTTTCTCTGAAATGTATGTGGCTATCTTGTGAATTTTCTTCAACAGGATTGGATCATCCATGTACAGTTCTGTACAGGACAAAGCGCTGGAGTATACCTGATTTCTTTCCATGGGGGATTCCATTAGTATTTCTGTACCTGAATCGCTTCTCTGAGCTTTTAGTCCACAAACCCAATGAAGGGTTCCTGTTAAGTCTCCTGGCAGCTCTCCTTTCACCCTTGGTAAACACTGAAACTTGTCTATATGGACATGGTTTTCTGTTTTCAATTTCTCTATAATTCTTTTTGTTTATAAATCTACTCACCTGAGTTTCACTCATATTCATTCATCATTTGTTTCCAGAGGTGGTTAATTTCCAAATTCGTGGAAAGTTACATTAAGAATAAACTGAGGCTTAGCAAATTCGGGATGGTGCCAGAACACAGCTTTCTGAACGAAATGAACTCTTGTTTGATTTTCATAGTGCCCGAAGATTTCTACAACCGGGTCGAAAATGGAAGCATCAACCTGAAGAACGCCCCGAGTTTTGTTTTCTGTAAAAAAGGTATCTTGATTCAGAATCACAAGAATCTGGAAGAAGAAGAGTTGGTGGAGGCAGATGCTGTGATACTTTGCACAGGATTCAGGGGCATCCACAAGCTCAAACACATCTTTGAATCCGCCATTTTCCAACATTACATTGCCGGGGCAAATGCTGCTGCGGTACCTCTCTACAGGTAATTCTTGTACGGGTCAATGAGAGTCAGTGACCTAAGATGTCAATCGCATAGAACGACATTATCGCAATAAAAGTTAGAAAGCAGTTTTCGCCATTTGAAGCATTGGCATCAGTGAGATTTGTCAGTTAATATATCTCTCTCTATATATTTTTTTCTTGTTATCGTTGTAGTGGTATTGATTAGCCTGTTTTGGTATCATCAGGGAGTGTATTCATCCGAGGATCCCACAACTGGCAGTGATAGGATTCTCTGAAAGCTTTTCGAATCTGTACACATCGGAGATAAGGAGCCGATGGGTGGCAGAGCTCCTCCACGGCACCTTCGAGATACCAAGCATTCATGACATGGAGAGAGACATAGCAGCTTGGGACAATTTCAAGAAGAAATATTCTGGAAAATACTACAGAAGATCATGCATTGGAGCCTTGCACACATGGTACAATGACCAGTTGTGCAAGGACATGGGCTGGAATCCTCGCAGGAAGAATGGCTATATAGCTGATATGTTCCTGCCTTATGGTCCACTTGATTACACAACAAATTAAGTTTTGACAGTAACAAGCAAAACTTCAGCATTGATGTGATGTGTTTGCAAATACTTTGTAATTATTCTTTTGTTTGAAATGGAAATTAACAAACACTGACGAAATTGTTCAACGCTTAACAGGAGACAGAAGCTCTTGATGTCTCACTTGAACATAAAAAAAATTCAACTGGTTGAAGCATAATTATGTTAGATTCTCTAGTTAAGAGAACAAAGTAGACAATGTATACCTATCATTTTGTCAATTAACTTCGACAAGATTATGAGACGCTAATATACACAGTATGCAGCATAGGACTGCTTGAGACTAATAAGGATTTCCTGCTACAGAAAGTGGTCAGTAATAACCTAATGCGCATGTCCAAATAGCCTTTGGAAACATGCTTCAAGTTGCAGATATAAAGTCATGAACCAAATTTGACCTAAGAGATGAACATTAAGCTAACTTGTTACAACCAAACAAATTGATTTGGTGGATGAAGGCTAAAGAGCTTTACAGAAATCTGTCAATAGTCATAATATTCTGGACGAAGAGGTACATAACATTGTACACCTTCCTGAATGCCGTCGTCACAAAGAACAGGTCTGAAGCAGCAAGGGAAAAGGCAAGGCTCACCCTCCTTGGCTAAGTTTGCTAACTTGTGGTCAACTCGCGATTGATGCTCGCTTTTAAGCTCGCAAGAAAGCACTCCTACCTCCAATCCATCCGCAGGTGGTCGTGTTAGGGTGCCATACCGAGCTCGAAACACTTCAGGGGCGACGAGGATGCTGCTGGATGAATCCTCATCATCAAGAAGCCGCCCAAAAGCGACAGCGATACAAGTGATGTAATCAACCTCAACAAACTCGAATTCCTTCCTGATCAGGATGACGAGTTTTGTTGAATTCTGGAACGCATTCCTTGCACCATTCCACGATTTGCTCAGGGGTTGAGTATTGAGTTGTGAAAGTCCATGGAATGAAGCCTGAGTTTATGAGACGGACTGGACAATTAGTAGTCACCAAAAATCCCCTGGATCAAGAACGAGCAAAAAACAAACATGTGTTAAGAATAATAATTAATCAAAATTAGGGAATTATTTCCAATAAAATCGCTGTTCAATCGTTGATTTCCTCAACTTGTATAATGATTCATCGAGATTCCGTGCCTTTGTAACTGGTTGGCCGTCATCGACTCCGGAATCGACCTCATATCCACCTTCCATCGCCGCCGGCCAGCCGCGCTTCTCCGCTCTTCGGGAAACTTGTTTTTACCCAAAAAATTCTTTTCTTCTTCTTTTTCTTTTTTTTTAAGGACTAGAAAAGGGGAACTCGGGCTCAGGGATTCTCGGAATAGAAAGCTTTCTTTAAAGAAATTATTCAGTGCAACTGCTGTACTAAGTATGATTGCTCAACTAGACACAATAAATAGGGTAAAATAATAATTTTTGAAAAAAAAAAAGATAATTTTTACTGGAGTTATAGCACCAAAATAGAGGTGCAAATACTTGTTGTTCTAAAAACTAAACCAGGATACAGCAGCTGCACCCAATAATTTTTCTCTTTGAAGAGCACTAATTTGTTTTTTTTTTTTTTTTAACTCAAGGATTGTAATTTATGGTTTTGATCTGATTTTGGGACAACAGTGATATCTATTTACTGTGGTCCTGTGAAGAAAGAAAAATGTAAATGTACAGATTAAGATCATGGAATGCTCGTCCATCTATAGGATTTTCTTGATTTTCTTTTTTTAAAAAAGGTTATTTGACAATCCCTTTAATAAGTTTGTAAATACATAAGATTCAAATGATATAAAGACAGAATCAATGTGACCAAGCCAAAGAAGGAAATAAAAACCACGGAGGTTTTGTAATTGATGATTATATGCAACCAAGAATAAGTATTTTTTTTTTTTTCTAATACAACAACCCACCGACAATATAAACTATACATCAACAATGTAATTGGCTGGATACAATATCTTAAATTCGCTTATGAAAACAAAAATTAGAAAACTCACTTTTTAATTATGTTCCCCATATAATTATTTACAATCTTTATTATTTTTAAATAAAATATTTAATGTTTTTTAAAAAAAGGTCGAAACATTTTTTTATTTTACAACATGAAACATTTTTATCTGGCAAACTTTTAAAAATGAAAATGGAGTAATTTATGGCAAATTATCTGGTACACCCGGGGGTACGGTGTCCCCCCATGCGCGTGTACCTCACTCTCTTACAATAGCGTTAGTGCGCCATAATAATTCAGCTTTCTTTTTCTTTTTTTCTTTTTTTTAAACGCGGGGATAAATAAATAACCGAATTCATTCAAATTTGTAAAACTTTGTGATAGAGTATTATTGATTGGAGATGACCGGCGACGATCGAGGCGTTGAGGCGGCAATGGGAGTCAGCGATCGTGGCGTTGAGGTAGACACGGCCGGCGGCGATCGAGTCGTTGAGACGGCGACGGCGTTCAGCGATCGAGGAAAGGCTCCGATTCCACCAGAGTGGCGAAACAGTGATTGGATCGACAATATGCTTAGTTCAGATCGAATGATGAGTTATGTCGTTGATGATTCCGTCTTGATGAATGCGGAATATAGTGGTAGAAAATCCATCGAACAACCTTACTGTGCCAGTAAATCAACGCAAGGTCACAGTTCTGTTGTAGATCAGCTGGAATCAGGTAATCAATCAAGTTTTTTTCACAGTTCTATTTTTGTTAATATGAACTGGATAAGCAGTTATGCTGTGTTGATATCCAAAATGTTTTCACTGGATATCCACTTTGTTTGTGCTGGATATCCAGCTTATGTGTACTGGTTATCCAACTGATACACATGCGTATCCAAATTTTATTTGCTGGATATCCAACATTTTTGAGTTGTTTATATTGAATTGGTGTTTTTTTACAGTTCGGAGTGTATTGTTTGTGAGAGAATAATTAATCTAGTTTTTCACAGTTCTGTTTTTGTTAATGTTGTATGAAGTGGATAAGCAGTTATGCTGTGTTGGATATCCAAAATGTTTGTACTGGATATCCACTTTGTTTGTGCTTGATGTCCAGCTTATGTCCACTGGTTATCCAACTGATTTACATGCGTATCCAAATTTTATTTGCTGGATATCCAACTGATTTTTTGTTTTTCTGTTTGTCTCATTTTTTGTAAAAGAGCATATCAATGAGTTGTGGGATGATGTGATGCTGGATGATGCTTTGTGCATGGAAGTTACATCTGCTCTGAAGGGTGGGTTTTCTAACTTGCTTATATGTGTTTAAATTTTTTTTCTGATTTGTTTATCCAGTGTTAATACTGATTATCCGACTGCATGGTAATGGTTATCCAATCATCTCTTTTGTTTTTTCTCAGAATGTGGAGAAGATAATAGCGGCAATGAATTGGGAGTTGATAATGTGATGTTGGAGGAGGATGCCTTGCACAAGGAAATTTCATCTGTGACGAAGAATAATGATTTGGCTGTTTTTACTTTAGTTGTTAAGACGGCAAGAAGTGAGAAAGAAGCTTATGATTTGTATAATGATCATGCCCGATTGATTGGTTTTAGTGTGAGAGTGGGAAAACAGAAGTTTAGAGGTACGACTGATAAAGTTAGGATGAAGAAGTTCTGTTGTAACCGCGAAGGATACAAGAGATCCAGTGGAAATGGTGATGTGTGCCATGAGAGGGTTAATTTTCGGTGTGGGTGTCCAGCTTATATCCAATTTACTGTTGACAAAGATGGCTTGTGGACCTGTGCAAAGTATCTGGTTGATCACAATCATGATCTTGTGCCGAATGAAATGATTGGACTTCTTCGTTCTCAACGTGAAGTAGATGAAAATGATATGAAGATAATCAGAGACATGACAAGGAGTGGCATCCCTTTGGTTGATACATTTAAGTTTGTGGCAAAATTACACGGGGGAAGCCCGAACATGAAATATACTTTGAGAGATGCCTACAATTATGAGCGTCATGGTGTTGGATTTGAAGGTGGTGATTGTAATCAGCTCATGAAGATTTTTTGGGACAGGAAGGAAACTGAAGAAGATTTCTTCTTTGATTTTGAGTGTGATGAGCAGGGTAGGCTGTGTATTTTCTTCTGGAGGGATGGCAGAATGCGAAAGGACTATAATTTGTTCGGTGACTTGCTTGTGTTTGATACAACGTATCGAACAAACAGATATGGGATGATCTGTGCTCCATTTGTGGGTATGGATAATCATAACAAGAATGTCATGTTTAGTTGTGGTTTTGTGTTAAACGAGAAAGAACCCTCTTTTGATTAGTTGTTCAAGCAATTTTTGAAATCAATGGGAGATAAACAGCCACAAACCATAATGACAGATCAAGCACCTTCCATTGCTGCAAGTATTCGGACATGTTTTCCAAGTTCTCAGCATCGTCTCTGTGTATGGCACATTGGTGAAAATTCAAGAAAGCGAATTGGTCATTTAAGGAACAAGCCAGATTTTGTTAAGAACTTTAATTATCTGATGAAATACACTTCAACAGAAATCGAGTTCGAGGTATTATGCAGGAGGTCAGTTTGACATTTCCATGATTAAGAGTGTCTCTTATTTTTTTTTTTTTTTGTGTGGGTATGTGTTTGTTAGTGGTCATGCATAATCTTCCTGATGATTACTTATAGGTAGGTACGTTGTGTGGTAGGTACATTATAGAAGCACAACTAAAAAAAGGCATGGATAACTAGTTTACAGATTGTGGATAACCACCCATAATGTTCGGATGACTAGTTTACAGATTCTGGATAACCAGTAACTATGGTTAGTTTTTAGCCATTCTGGATAACTAGTTTACACATTGTGGATAACCTGCAATTATCTCTGGATAACCACCCGTTATGGCTGGATAACTAGTGGATAATCTAACTATTTTTCTTTTTATGCATGTTTTTTATATTGTTGTGCACAGATTATTGGATGAGTATGATTGTCATGATGACAAATGGCTCAGTGGTATTTATGATGTGAGGCATATGTGGTGCCCTGCATTTAGCAAAGATTTTTTTTCTGGTGGTACCTTGTCTTCACAGAGGAGTGAGTCAACAAATAATGCAATTTGTCGTAAGATGAAGGCCACATCATCGCTTTGTGATTTCCATGGAATTTTCTTTGATGTTGTACACTGTTGGCGGGTAGCTGTGAGGGGTGAAGATCTACATTGTAGCCAGGGAAACATCGATTCATATCTTCCCGGTGACCCTTTCCTGGAGAGCATTCGCAGAGTGTACTCAGTTGAAGCATTCCGGGAGGTTCAGCACTTGCACAAAGATGGGATGTTGTGCAGGCAGGAGCAGTTAGAGGTCTCAAATGATGGCAATACTGTGACGTACCATGTTTGGCGGTTTGGGATAGAGCACTTTAAGCATATGGTTATACATGACACTAGGTTACAGAGATTCTCATGCACATGCAGGTACTACTCTGAGGCGGGCATGCTTTGTTGCCACATTCTTCAGATCCGTCACGTAACCTCTGTTGATGAGTTTCCTAAAGATTATATATGTATGAGATGAACAAAAGGTTATGGTGCCAGGTCAAGCATAGCTAATGGGGAGATGGAAAAGCTGCTGGGCCATTGCTGTGGAAAGCACTAATTATGAGACGATTTTCAGACTTGGTGTATGCAAGTGAATATAACAAAGATGCAAAGAAATGTTGTGACGAGGCTGTTGACAGGCTTAAAGAAGAACTCGGCAGTTTCATTGGTTCAAATAATAATGATGAGTCTGTAGACAATGATGGTGTTATAAAGAATCCGGCTGTAAAGAGGAAGAAGTTTGGTCCCAGGAACGAACGTCCAAAAAGCATTCTTGAGAAGGCATGTAACAAAGTCAGAGGCAGGAAAACAAATGCAAGAATTGCTGCAGACCAAACAAGAGCTTCAGTTGCATCAGACCTGCATTATCAAAGCATGCCATTTCCTTATCCAAAGGGAGCTGCTCAACATTTTACAGGCTCAGGAAGTTTTGCTACTGTGAATGCTTCCCATCAAAGCGTGCCATCTTTGAACGTAAGTTCCAGTGGATTCTCATTCGTTAATCCAAGCGTAGATGCCAAACATTTTTCATGGGCAGGGGCTTCCACTTCTATGAATGCTTCTGATCAAATCATGCCGTTCATCAACCAAAATTCCGGTGGATTTTCATTTCCAATTCCCAAGGGAGCTAGCCAGGAGTTTCAAGACGAAAGCACTTCCGCTGCTGTGAATCCTTCTCATCAAAACATGACATTCATGAATGAAAACTTTGGTGGTTTCTCATTTCCTAACCGAAGGGAAGCTGCCAGGGAGGCTGGAGCGCAGCGTTTCTTCAACAAGATGTTTTATTAGTATTTTAACTTGATTTTGAAATGAACAGTATTGATGGCGTAAAGATTTTTATTTAAAAAATATTATTTATTTTAAATTGCAGTATTATACAACCAGTTTTAACTGGTTATCCATTTTGTTTGTACTGGTTATCCAAGTGGTTATTTTAAATTGGTTATCCGTTGTGTTCATGGTGATTATCCAACCAGCTTGAACTGGTTATCCAAGTTGTTTGTACTGGATATCCATTTTGTTTGTAGTGGATATCTAACTCGCCTGTACCGGATATGCAACTTTAAATGCATATAGATATTACAAAAAAACACATGAACACGTTGAACACAGATAACAAGTATAATCTCATGGATAATCAGGTTAAAGACTGTACTTGCATTTTTTTTGACTGGATAATCACTATAAAACATTCGGATAACTAGTACAATGATCATGGATAATCATTACAAACGGTTGGATATTGCTGCACATTGGCTGGATAACCAGTACAAAAGTCCTGGATAAGCAAGATAACAAGGATAAGCAGTTTAATAAAGAAGTAGAAAGACCAAGAAATTGGGACACTCAATTTTTGTTGTCTGGGAATTCACAGAAATATTTGGACAACCAAAATACATTGGATAACCAGCATAGATAATCTGGATAATTAGTACAAAGTCCTGGGATAACCAGTACAAAGTCCTAAAAGTATGTTAATGTTTCCCAGAAGTAACATGCTCTAATGATGAAACTGGTTTCTAGATCCGGCGATATACTTGAGTGTGTGATTTTCCTGGTAGGAACACTATACAACAACAAATGACGATTATCGTATCCTTTGACAATGAACTGTCCCGTTGGAGATGATTTGTGGCTTAAGAACACTGGATAAAGCCAATCATGACGGAAATGTAATCCGTGTGGAACGTGTGTGTTCACATTTGGGAATTCATGGGTCTCAAATATGCAATCCCATGTGGAAGTATCTGGATCCCATGCCCACATCTCACAGTGATGATTCTGAGTAATCTCGTACTCATCTATTACACACATAGTCCCCTGGAAGTCCAATATTTTCACTTGGAGATTATCTGAATGTTTTATAGTGATTATCTAGTAAAAAAAATGCAAGTACAGTCATTAATCTGATTATACATGAGATTATACTTCTTATCCAAAAAATCAATACTGCTTATCCATATGTAACAAAAGTTTTATACTGATCATCCAGTCAAAAAAAATGCAAGTACATTCTTTGACCTGATTATCCAAGAGATTATACTTGTTATCCAAAACCCCAATACTGCAATCCAAACGGCATATTCATTGGGGGGCTTCGCCCCCCATGATAAACTAAACGACTCCCGCGGCTACTGGAATCGCAGGTAACCAACCTGCCCCGGCTGCGCCGCCCCGCCGAACACGCCAATATAGCTAAGGTAATCCTTTTTTCGTGTGTGTGTAAGGAGAGTGTGTTATTGCATTAAGAGGGGACACAAATTAATTGTATAAATCCCCCCGTGATAAACTAAACGACCCGGCTGCGCCGATGCCCCCGGTTGCGCCGGTCCCGCAGCTAACCAGAAACAAAGTTTGGACAAGCAACACATAAAATCAAATGTTAAAAAAGCATGGATAATCAGTTCACAACATGTGGATAACCAGTTTACCACTTGTGGATAACCAGTATGAAATGGTTGGATAACCAGCAAATAATGTATGGACGTAGCCACATAAAAGCACATCTAAAAAAACAATGGATAACCAGTTTACACCATGCGGATAACAAATATTTAATGGATGGATAACCAAAAACAAAGTTTGGACAAGCACCCCTAAACCCTAAACCCTAAACCCTAAATCAGTAACAAAAAAAAAACACAAAAACATGGATAACCAGTTCTGTTTGTCCATGCCACATAGAATAAAATGTAAAAAAAGCATGGATAACCAGTTTAAAACTTGTGGATAACCACTTTACAACTTCTGGATAACCACTCTACAACTTATGGATAACCAGAATGAAATAGGTGGATAACAAATGTTAGTATGATATAGATGGATAAACAGAGATTACGGCATGGACAACGATCACATTGCATACGCAGGAAACCATGGATAAATAGTTCAGATCTAGTGGATACACACAAGATATTGCTGGATAATCAAAAAAAGAGGATCCCGGAGTAATATACTTACCATTCAAGCATGTATAGATGAAGGAGAATTTCAGATGGCCGGACGTAGGGTTTCTCGCCGTCGTCTGTGTGTGTGTGTGGGTTTGCCCTAAATTGGAGAGTTTCCGTCGACTGTGTGTTTGTGTGTGTTTATGCATGAGGATGAAATTGATGAAAATAACTTTATGTGTACATTTAATGTAAAGGTAAAAACAGTTAAGCGCGTGTGTTTGGTGGGGGGAGTATACGGTACACCCGAGTGCACTGGATACGGACTCTAATTTATTTTAATACTCCCTCCGTCATAAGAAAACAGTTCACATTGAGTTTTGAATTTTGTATTGTTTTTAGTATAAATTTGAAAACTCAATGAGGACTATTTTTTTGGGACGGAGGTAGTATTTAATTAGAAAGTTATTAGTATTATTTTTAGAACAATAGTCTATAGTGAATCAAATTCGGGCTATATTTCTTCGTATACCCTTATGCCATGAAGGTAAATTCGATTCAACCTAAGAAGAAACATTCGATTCAAACATAAGGATGAATTTAAATTGTAATATGAAACAACCAATTTACGCAATTTCTAGTGCTCCTAATGAAATTTCCTTATATTCCAAAACATACAATCAAAACTCTTTACCTTACACGAAACAAATCCGGTAATATTAAATAGCACTACTAATGAAATTTCCGTTGTAGAATTTTTTTCCTTTTACAAGAAAATTTTGACAAACCAAATCCGGTAATAAATCACAAAAAATGTCAACGACTTTTTCACCTGAGAGCCCGAATCCAATCATTTAATTAGAAAAAGCCAACTGGATCAGGGTGGGGTCCGCCTCCAGCGGGATATAAATGTTAATTAATAGAATTAAAGAATTCTTCTTCTTGTCTGCTTTCTCTTCGTTCTTCAACGATCCCACCCAAAAAATCCGCCAGAAAAAGGAAGAAAAAGGGGAGAAAGGGATTCCCATATAAGCTTACCTTTTCTAGGGTTTTTCGTCAATTTCAATCCCTTTCTACTCCTTTTCCTTTTCTGATTCTTCTTCTCCTCCTCCTCCTCCTTCATCAGCATTATCCATGCGACTTTCCGGAAATTCCCAAACAGATATATACATAATCTACCCTTTTTAGATTTATCATTGTTATTCTTTTCTGTCCAAATTTTGACTGGCGGATGGAATTTGATGGTGTTAAGTCGATGAAAACGATGCAGAAGAGGTCACATGCGTTGTCGTTTAGTCATAATTTTCCGGTGAAGTTGGAAGTTGCTGCGGCGGCGGCGGCGGCGGAGGAGAGGCAGTATGGTCATGATTCTTTGGATGGTGGTTATGGGTATTACGGTCGTGTCAGTAAACGTTCTAGGTTGTCTCCGTCTAGCTCGTCGTCATTGTCTTCTTTGTTTCAGCTTCAGGTATTCTCTTCCATTGGTTGTAGTGTTTTGATTTTGGGTTTTTTTTTTTTTTTTTAAATCCAGGTGTTATGTTTCTATCTGCGTGTTTTCTGTTTGGCTTTGTTGCAGCCGTTGAAATAGATTTTATGGAAGTGTTCTAGTTAAACTGAATTGAATCAGTGTGTGAAAAAGAAATTGAACTAAACCTTTATTTATCCCAGTTTGAGTAATGATGGATTTGGTTGTTAATGTGTTACTTTAGATGGGAAAATGGCTTAATTTGCGATTGCCATGTATTTCGATTTTGAATTTTGATGTGTGCCTTTTCCTGCATAATATGTGCCAATCTGCCTGGTGTGCAGTTAGTTGTCATGTTTGCAATTGGATACGAATTGGGTGGCAATTGCTGTTGTGGTCTTGGTGATGAGCAATTTAATTTATATGTTAAACCTCCATGAGGCCTTGTGACTGCGCGGCCCAATTTTAAGCATGGAAAGGTTACTGTGTGAACAAGAGTATCATGTTTTCACTGCACTGTGATCCAATTTCGGAAAATGATTATTAGGTTAGGATACCGTGTTAGGGGTGATATTTAAGCACATATTGGCAATTATATGCCTAGCTTGTATCTTGATGGTTTGAGTTTGTTCTTATGTGGAATTTCTGAGGTGCTCTTTTCTTTTTATCTTTTCCTTATTTGGCTGTTTTTTAAGTTTATTATTTATTGTTCTTTTCTTGATAGCGATGGAGCAGCGGGGGCCATGAGTTTTCTGCTGAGTCTTCGCAGCATAATCCGCTCGCTGAACCAAGTCCTCTGGGTTTGCGGTTAAGGAAGAGTCCGTCTTTACTTGATTTAATTCAGATGAGGCTATCGGGGAGCAATGCTTTGCCTGTAGCAGCTGCACCTGTTGAGGTTCCTAGTAATGGGATCAAAAAGGACGTAAAGACCTCAAGTGCATCTGATAAGATGAAGGCCTCGAATTTTCTTGCTTCTTCTTTAAGAATTGGGGGATGGGAGGTAGCTACGTGTTCCTTATAGCCCTTTCTTTTTAATGTACAAGCTTTGTTTCCTTTCACCTGATACTATGTCTATGGTGACAGTTCGTATCAAAGCATGAAGGTGACTTGGTGGCTAAGTGTTACTTTGCTAAGAAAAAACTTGTCTGGGAAGTTCTTGAAGGTGGTTTGAAGAGTAAAATAGAAATACAGTGGTCTGATATTATTGGTCTGAAAGCAAACTGTCCTGATGATGCTCCTGGAACTTTGACTGTAGTGGTAAGATTTACTCTGTTTTCTGTCCTCCTTTTTTATTATAATGACCTTGGAATTGACCTTTCCTTTTATAACCCTGTAAAATTATTAAAATATTTAAACTGGTCTTTTTCTCTCATAGCTTGCTCGGCAGCCCTTGTTCTTTAGAGAGACCAATCCGCAGCCCCGAAAGCATACTCTCTGGCAGTCGTCTTCAGATTTTACTGGAGGACAAGCTAGCATACATAGGTAAATTACAATAAGAAGTTTCTTGACCATTTCTTTTGTTGATTGCTTTTGTATACTGGTGATTAAATTTCAACACAGCAATTGATTTGATGCATGCATGATTAGTATTAATTGAACTCATACAAACATGTACCTTTTAGTGTGTCTCTTTGTCTCTGTAGAACTCTCTTCCATTTTTTCCTAAAAGTTGTGAATGTGTTATTTACTAACCTCAGGCATAGCTAAATGAAGTAATGTGATAAGTGGTAGTATTTAAAAATGTATGGGAAAATTCAGCTGGAATGATATAATACGATTGCTGTCGAGTTCACGATCCTTTCTGTTTTTGAATGCATTCCTTAATTTGTTCACCCTTTTGAGTTTATTTGGTTGCCATGAACAGGCAACATATTGTACAATGCCCTCCTGGAATGTTAAGTAAGCACTTTGAGAAGCTCATCCTGAGTGAACCACGGCTGAACTTTCTGAACCAGCAGAATGAGTTTATGGTGGAATCAATTTGCTTTGATTCCCAAGCATCTGTTCAAGAAAATCCAGATCAGAATAGTATTGAACTTCATAATGGTGAAGTCTCACCTGTTTCATGCTTTCGTGATGGAGCATCACCATCCTTGTCAGAATTATCGTCATTGAATTATGAATCGGGCTCTGTAAATTTGTGGAAAGGAATTCCTTCACCAAGCTCAGGTAATTCAATTTTCATGGAATAGTTGATTTATTCATGTCTACGCTGGAAGCCTTTTCATATGGTTCTTCATGGTTTTCTTCTAGTTTACTTCTGGACACGTTAGTTTGCATTTTGTGTGGCATTAAGAACATGTTTAAACTGTAAGTGACTTTGGCAATGTTTCTTTGCTGCCATTTCTTGGATTCACCGATTTGGTGTATGTGCCTTCATGTGGAAATTTACTCTTTATGTGAAATTTAGTGTAAGTTTTATTATGGAATTACTGTTCTTCAGTGCAATTTTGAGGAATCCTATACATGTGATTGACTACCTTTTGATTATCTTCAGTGATGGATGCTAATGCCATCGAAGGGAGCCAGGGATCTCAATCTGATATCCAAACACTGAAAAACTTGGAACAGTACAAAGTGACAGGGATTCGCCCATCAATATCCTTAAGTGATTTGGTGAATCACATTGGAAATCAGATCTCGGAACGAGTGACCTCTGGAAATATGCCTTCAGAGAAAGCATCAGAGTGCCATGAAATGCTTGAGAATGTTGCGCAGATGTTGCTAAGTGACACCCAGAATGATGCAGCTTCGGATGAGAAACTCATGAAGAAGGTAAACTCTCTCTGCTGCCTTATCCAGGATCCAGTGGCTTCTGTAAATTCTTTGGACCCACTAACTGAAGGGAGCAATGCCGAAGACTTCGAATGGGAGATCAAAGCCGCTGATGACGGCATCTCAAGGAATGATTCGTTCGGGGATCTTTTTCTTCATTTTCCCCGCACTGCATCTTTTCAGAAGTTTCTATGTGATATTGATGAAACTGAGGAAAACCAAAATTAGGTGAATGTTAGAAACTGGAAGCTGATGGTGAAGTTTTTCTTCCGCAGCAGCGTGTCAATATTTTTTATACACGCTGTGTTTTTCCTATTCAGTTGGACTTCAGGAATTTTTTTCGGATTCGGAAATTTTGGTTGATGAAGAATCCTGATAATTTCCTGGATATTGCGTACTTTTGTATATCAATTTGGGATATCAAGAGGCAATTGAAGTTCAAGATCCCTTTGTTAATATAGGTTTTTAATTTATAAGGATGATGAAGGCATAATTTGTGCCTGGCTTATAGAGTTGGCATTTAATAATGCTCTCCAGCAGCATACATAAGAGTGAGATGTTTCTTTTTTCACGGTTTGTAAATTGGTGTGGTTTTTGCTGTTGTAACTCTGATGATCCAATTGGATTGGGCCGAAAAGTTTATATTTTGTTCCTCTCAATTACTCTATTTGTCCAAAATATGATTGTCCTAACATAAAGAATTCTTTTGGACAAATTGAATGCAAAATACTTCTCAAAATGAAAAAAATGTAAGTCATTACTTCACTTTCAATAAGAATACCTTTATGTCTCATCTTCATAATTCAGTTTGTTATACAAAGTTGATGGGGTAGAAAGATTAAATTGAACGGCCAGCGTTATAGTATAAATATCGCAACTCAATGTTGATTATTTGTTTTTCTTGGACAAATATCGCAACTCAATGTTGATCATTTTTTATTGGTTCGACACCGAGAATTCTATTTTTAGTAAAAATTCTAAAACTTAATTTTTAGATTTTTTTAATTATTTTTTGAAAAATGGAGTAAAAAAAAAAAAAACCACCCATTATGGACATAGCTAAGGAGCAACAAATTTGCTACCATTAATTGCTTCATGTGTAAAGAGGTTGCTTGATGAGAAAGACTCATTAAAAGAACAGTGACAATAAAATTAGGCAAAATCTTAACTACAAATCATCTGTGCATTATTCTGAACAAAATTGCCCTACTTCTTCTACTCCTAAAATTGTCTATATAGCAGGAAACTGCAATTTCCATCTATCCAATCCAATATTGGCGACTTTGATTGATTTCACCTGCCTTTTGTGACTACAAGAAAGACAACGATGATGATCACCGCCATAAGTACGGCAAAAGGCGGCGAACCAAATCCTGAATTACGATTACCCGAACCCCAACCGCCGCCACCTCGATCATCGCCGCCGCCGCCGCCACCCAAGAAAAGATTAATGATAGGCATGCGACGAAACAGAGAACGAAATATGATACCGGCAATACTTGAGCCACCACCACCTCCTCCGCCTGGGCCAGTGATGAAAATCGCACGAAATACACCGCCAATCAAATGGCCGAACAATCCCAAGATACTAAAACTGTCACCGCCGCGGCGGCCGCCGTCATTCGGAGTAACAACGGCGGCGGCGCGGAAGATGCCAACCGACGGGGCGCCTCGAAGTATTACGCTTCCAAGCAGCAAAAGACTGAAGAATAAAAAGGCAACTTTGGGTTCCATTTGGCTTAATTACTTAAACAAAGTAGAAATAAAAAACACTGAAAACAACAACGTTGAAGAGAGTCTCGTTGATACTGATCGGATAAGTTTAAGGAAGAAATCTGGGAAAGAATGAAATCCATGGAATTATTTATAGAGGGTACGAGGTTTCCTAAAACGAAAGTCTGTGAAATTGAATCCCTTTCCGAGTAGGATTCGGATGGTTGCTCGTAATTTCTGTGTCTGATTTTAGGAAACCCCTTATAAAAAAATACTTGAAAAAAAAAGAACCCCAATTATAATACTCCTTCCGTCCCATAATTATTGTCCATTTTACCAAAAAAATTTTGTTCCAAAAAATTATTGTCCAATTTGACTTTTTATGGATCAAGTTACACATTTGTTCTTAGTAAAAAACATTATCCATAAAATCTTAGCGGTTAAACAATTACTTATGTAGGAGTATATCCGGTTGTTTAAGGTAAAATATAATTAAGTTTGACCAAAAATAAAATATTTCATTTTAGTAAAACTTGACAATAATTATGGGACGGAGGGAGTATAAGATTATTTTTAGGGTTTTCAAGATTCAGTCAAGATGACCATGGAAAGTCGAAAGGAAATTGATTTTAATTAAGAGCGAAATTATTCCTTTTTCAGAAAAATAGAGAAATTGTTCTAGATTTGTTTACGGTCGGAATTTTCGGTGTACACATACCATTACTTCATCACTGGCAAAAAATTTCTTATTCGTTATTGAGAAAGTGTGGATGGAAATCAAAATGTTAATACAAAACATTAAAAAATGAGTTCTTTTAATTTTAAGGGAATCATAATTTTTCCAAATAATTAACCCAAACTAGTAACTACAGTAAAAACTCTATAAATTAATAACTGCGAGCCCACAGATAGTTATTCTTTTATAGAATTATTATGTTATCGTTAAATTAATAATTATTATTTTGTTAAAAAATTAATATTTTATTAATTTAAAGGTTCTTTTTTTTTTCAATTCTATTATGAAACAAATGTTCAACTTCAACCCTACTTCCATATATATTTATGATCTTTTTATTTTTAATTATGGGTTGGAGAGATAAAACCTTTTTAAATGTAAATTTCAAGGAAAAAACAAAACAAAACTCAATAGCCTTCTACTTTCTCAAAAACTCAATAGTTTTTTTTTTTTTTGAGGGTATTTTATATCTTTACTAATCTATAATTTTTAGGAGACCTATATTTATAAAGGAATTTTCTGAATTTTTTTTTATCTTATTAATTTATCAATTTTGTTTGATTTTTGTACTGGTCTCAAGATTGGACCGAAAAAATTTCTTATCTGATACATTTTAGTAATTTATAGAGCATTAATTTAGAGATTTTTTTTATTGTTTCCCGAAGGGGGCGGCATGAACAACCAATCGTCATCATTACTAATTTTCAAACGCATAGAGATTTTATTTTTTTAATATTTCGGATTCGCTTGAGTTAAATTCTTCTAAACCCAATTCATATATATATATATATATATATATATATAATAGATAGAGAAGAAAAATAGAATATCCTCTACTGGTTTGTGTTACCCTACCAACAATGGGCGGCCCAATGAAAAAGGCTCTGACATCCATACGCGATGAGGCGAATTCAAAACCCTACGATAGTGATTACAGCCGACGGGAGGCGGAGTGAGTTTATGTGGATTAGGCATAGTATTATTCCCCTCCCAATAAACCCTATCCATATAACAGTCGAGACACTTGTAACGGTAATTTTTTTTTTTTTTGAAAAAGAACGTGTGTTACCCAAGTGATTTTTCAGCTTTCTCAATTAATACATGAACATGAAATTCATAGTAGTATTATGGCAAGGATTTTTTTTTTCCTACTTTGATTTTTTTATTTTTATGTAAAAGATTTTTCCTTTTAAGTGTCTTTTAAAAAAAAGCATCCATATAATGTGTTTTAAAATTATTATAATTATAAAGTACTTATTTTTAAATTATAACTCTTGTTTTAATCACTTCATAGTCACCTTACCATACTAGTTGAATATGTTTAAATTGTTACATCGTACTAATTATTCAAACACTTTCATTAACTTTCATTAATTTGTGTGTGTATGTGGACAAGGGAGTACAAACATCAGTAAATTAACCCACAAACAAACATCATACATAGCTATAGCTAGAAAGGTCAGAGTAATTATCATGTTTTACAAAAGCACAAAATCTCATTTAAACATCATTTCTCACGAACTCAAATTTTATAAAATGATTCACTATACAATTTCACTCACACGATTTGAACAAAAACTAAAAAAAACCAAAAAAACAAAACAAACATTATGGACATAAAAGTTTGGCAAAATCTTGACAAGAATTCATCTGCATTATTCTGAACAAAAACTTCCCTACATCCTACTCCTAAATAGGCTTTTCAGCAGGAAACTGCAATTTCCATATGTCCAATATTGGCGACTTTGATTTTACCTGCCGTTAGTGACTACAAGAAAGATAATGATGATAATCACCACCGAAAGCTACAAGAAAGGGTGGCGAACCAAATCCTGAATCAGGATCCCGACATCGATTATTCGAACCCCAACCACCACCACCACCGCAACCACCTCCGCCAGAGAAAAAAATCGCACGAAATACGCCACCAATCAGACGGCCGAACAATCCCAAGATACTAAAACCATTTCCGTCTCGGTCGTATCGGCCGCAGCCGCGGTCATGGGGAGCAACAACGGCAGGACGGAATATGCCGACAGATGGGGCTCCTTTTAAGTGCTACGCTTCCAAGCAGCAGTACGGCGAATAATAAAACGGCAACTTGGGGCTCCATATTGACCTAATACCTTAAATAAAGCGAAAACACTGAAAACAACGTTGAAGAGTATCGCCTCATATTATGTACTGATCGTCGGAGATGTTTTAAGGAAGAATTTGGGAAAAAACGAAATCCATGGAGTTATTTATAGAGGGTAAAGTGTTTCCTGGAATGCAAGTCTGTGAAATTGAATCCCTTTCCGAATAAGGTTCGGACAGTTGTTTGAAATATATACTAGATGTTTGCCGGGCAAATGGATGAGATTCTTTCAAATTTCAGAATTTGAGATAAACGAGGATTTCGTGGGTTCTTTCGAAATTATTGGTTGATTTTTGGAATTTTTTTATTAGTTAGAAGCATAAATTTAAGGATGTATATAGTTTGAAATAGATTACACGATCAGATCTCCAATTGTGAGCAACAAGATGTTTCATTTTTATTTTTTTTTCATGTTTGAATTTCCGGAATTCATCATTGGGTGAAGGAAAAAGGAATGAGGGATTATTTGGTCTTTTGATAATTTTTTTACAAAAATTAATAGCATTCATTAATTGATAATTGCAACCCATGCCCCTCACAATAAATAAGATCTTTCCAATGTCCCTATTAGAAATTCTCCCCAAATTATTTTAGATTTTGTCACGCTAAATTTCTGGTGTATATATCGTTACATTTTATTATTAATAAAAAGCTTATTGTCACCGACAAGTATTTGACCCAAATAGTAAACGTATTAGACTAATTTAATTACGATTCTGGATCAAAATACTTGTAGTAAGAGTTTTGCCAGCTGAAAGTGACCTACCCGGCTCGAATCCGGATAAGTCAGATATGATTTCAGACATCGGGTATGTAATATAATAAAAAGTATAATAAATTATTGTTGGTTGTTGTCAAAAAATTCGTGATTTTGTCAAAAATTTTTAGCACCTAGTACAAATTTAGTGAAGGAATGATTCAATTACCCATCTCAAGAAAAGGGTACATATCATCATATTTACCTATCATCAGCACCTCTCCAGACTCAAGGTGCTCCTCCACCTACAACGACAACTGAATTCCAGCTTTCATCGCTTTAGTGAAAGAGATTTGCTTTTAACCAATTGATGGAAGTCTCAGATGCAAAGAGGGATTAATTTTTTGGAATCGGATAGAAAAAGTTGTAGATCGATGCTGAAAGCTGAATTTTACTACTCCACCAGTGGAAAGCTGAATTTTCCCCTTGGTACCAAATAACTATGATGAACACCCATCTAATCTAATGTGATTTGCTGAGAGAGAGGAAAAAGATTGTGCGTTAGTTTTTGCCTTTTAGGATTGTATATCACTTTAAGATTATATCCAAATTTATTTGTATCTTTCTCCAAGGGGAAATTATTTGCTTCAAACTAAATTAAAACAGTTGATACTTCCAAAGAGATTGGAAAAAGCAGTGACATTGTTGTCTTCTTCCACGGAATGAGGAACTCAAAACGATGGACTTTTTGTGAGATTGCCAAAAAGTCATAACAAAGTTTTTCAGATTTCTTTCTTCGGTCGCGGTCTGGGCGTAGAAGGGTGGGTTTCAGGGGCACTGGGCAGAGACTAGAGAAAGGTGGAAGTAATGATATTTTTGAGATGGGTAACAATGTCTTTTTATCCTAAACTGGTTTTAAATGCTAGAAGTTGTTTTGGTCTCAAATTAAAACTTTAACAGAAAATTAGAAAATGAGTTCTTTCAATTTCAAGGAAATCATAATTTTTCAGAATAAATAATCCCAACTAATCCAAAAAGAAAAAAATAAACACCCCCCCTCCCCCCCAACCAACCAATGATCAACATTATTACTGCATTCGTCCCGAAATAATTATTTCTGGTCTATTTGTTTCAACACCACGTTTTTATGTACCTTGTCAAAGCGGACCAAGCCCTAATCGATAGTGTTTGTGAGCGAACCGGCAAAAACAACTAACATGACTGCTTCAAATGAGATTAAAGAAGTCCAACAGAAGACATTAAAGGGCTAGCCATAACTTCGATCGATTGCGAGCCCACGATGTTGTTCGACGCCCAAGATGAGACGTCATCGCTAGCAGCAAGATCCACCAATCCAACATTCAAGCAGAAATACAACACTGTGTTGGGGAACTCGACGCCACATTTTGGCGATTTCGGGCAATTGGAGACATCCGCTGGAACTGGAAATAAAGTGTAGCCACGACGAATAGTTTGGGTGACACACTTAGAACGACTGAGAACTATTTGAATTTAGTCGGGGGGTTGAAGTGTCCAATTGGTTATACCCTTCAGGGTTTCACTGATGTTGCTATCAATGACATTAATCAGATTCCACGGGTCATTACGGTTTGAGAGAGAATTAAATTTGTAGATGGACTTGCGAAAACTCTCTTTGTCGGATATATTCCCTCTGTCCCAAAATTATTGTCCAATTTGATATTTCACTTTTAGTACAATTTGAACTAAAAATAAAAACTCAAACGGTATAATAATTATGGGACGGAGGGAGTACAACTTTCTGTGGAAATTGTATTACGACATGGTTATTAATATTAAACATTGTATAATGAAAAGATTCATTAATTACGCAATTTTACTCACAAGATCTGGAAAAAAACAAAAAACAAAAAGAACACAAGACAAACATTATGGACATAAGGATATGTTGCTTGATGAAAAAGAGTCATTAAAAATACAGTGACAATAAAAAATTTGGCAGAATCTTGACTAGAATTCATCTGCATTATTCTGAACAAAAACTTCCTACTCCTAAATAGGCTCTTGAGAGGGAAACTGCAATTTCCATATTTCCATTATTGGCGACTTTGGTTTCACTTCGTGGCAACAAGAAAGCAAATGATGATAATCACCGCCAAAACAACAGGAAAGGGTGGCAAACGAAATCCACGGAATATGCCAACAGATGGGGCACCTTTAAGTATTATGCTTCCAATCAGCAGGACGATGAAGAAGGCGAATGGGGCTTCCATATTGACCTGATTCCTTAAACAAAGCGAACACACCGAGAAAACAACGTTGAAGAGTATCGTCTTAAATAATGTACTGGTCGGGAAAACTTAAGAAGTCTGGGAAAGAACGAGATCTGTGGATGTATTTATAGACGGTAGTCATGGTACGGGGTTTCCTCATACGGAAGCATCTAAAATTGAATCCCTTTTCGAGTAGGGTTCGGACAGTTGCTTGTAATATACTCGACTCTATCTGATTTTAGGAAACTCAATCAGTCAAGATGACCATGGAATGTCGAAAGGAAATTGATTTTAATTAAGGGCAAAATTATTCTAGATTTTTTAGCGATATGATTTTTTGGTGTATATACGGGGAATTTTTATTGTTGTTATAGGTCAAAAGTTTCTTGTTCGTCATTGAGAAAGAGCGGATGGAAATAAAAATGTTGATTAAAAATGAAATTGCGTTATTTTTATTCTAATTGAAGCATGCTTTTTCAGAACAAATAATCCAAACTAATTGAAGAAGGCTAATTATCATTATATAGCTTTTTTTAAAAAAAATCTGATTAGTTTAAGTTTTATTCAACATAAATTAATGGGCAATATAAAGATGGATGATGGTATTGCCTTATTTAAACAAAGTGAGAAATAAAAAAGAAAAACAGAATTTCCTCAACTGAGGTGTTGTTACCGAAGTGAATCGGAAATTTCCTAGTGGTAATGTTATGGCGAGGATTCGCTTAGTTGTATCTTTTGTCTTTTTCTTTTTTTTTTTTTTTTCTTTTTCACTTTGGTTGTTCTATTATTATGTACAAGATTTTGCTTTTCAAGTGTGAAATCCGTTTTCCTGTTATTTTAAAATGTTTGTAAGCGTGCATTTATGCTTCCCAACCATTGGGTAGTAGATTTGTTTTCTAGGCAATAACATTCATTTTACTAAAAAGAATTGTTATAATTATAGAGTACTCAATATTTAATCTTTTCTAATAATCACTCACTTACCAAGAAATACAACAAAATTTAACTTTTAACACAGCTTATCACACTAATTGAATATGCTAAATTGTTGCACCGAACGAATAGAAATTTGAACACTTTCATCATTGAGAGGTTCCCTACCTCCTCCCTTATTGACTAAAACAATATAAATATAACAAAGTGATTTTTTTTAATGCGGATAAGGGAGTACTACAACGTGACAAGGATTGTTCAAAAAGCATTGAATAAATTAAGACACAAACAAACATCATAACTACCATGAAAGGCCAGAGTAATGCACCATGTTTCACTATAAAGCATCAAATCCTCATTTAAACAACATTTCTCATGAACTCAAGTTTTGTATAAGAGACATAAAGCTGTAACAACGTCAATTATTAAATAACTAAAAATAAAAAAGGCCTATGGAATCTGATTAACCACATTGATAGCAACATCGATGAAACCCTGAAGGGTAGCCAATTTGGGTACTGGACCACGCCCGACTAAATTCAAACAGTCCGCCGCCTTTCTAAGCGCGTCATTCAAACTATTCGTCGCAGCTACTTTATTCCCGGCTCCGGCGGACGTCTTGGCTTGGCCGAAATCGCCGAACGTGGCGTCGAGTTCCCCGAGGCAGGTGTTGCATTTCTGCTTGAATGTTGGATCGGTGGATCTCGCCGCCAGCGAGGCCGTCTCGGCCCGGGCGTCGAAAGCCGTCGTGGACCCGCAATCGATTGATGTTAGGGCCAACCCTTTAATGTCTTCTGTCGGACTTCTTGAATCTCGTTTGAAGCAATCATGGCAGAATTGGTTGTTTTTGCCTGTTTTTTCACAAACACTGTTGATTAGGGCTTGGTCCGCTTCGACTAGGTAACAACGTTGTTGAAACAAACAGGCTAGAAACAAGAGACTGCAAAGGACATTAGTTTGAGAAGAAGGCATGGTAAGAGAGGAAGAAGAATTGTATTGATTAGCAAAAGAACTTGAAGGGATTAATGAGAATTGCAATGGTTGTAATTTGTTCGAGATTATGAGCCATTGAATTAATTTATAGGAAATGAAGAGATGCATACATATGGGATGTGACGATTTGGAGAGATATTTACGTTAATTAAGATAATCAAGCAATCAATAGCGTGAAAAAAAGGAATATATTTTGTTTACATTTGTTGCATAAACCCCTTTTGCGGGCTCGTTTTTTTTTTTTTTTTCCGGGTACTCTCAAAGTTCTTTAAAAAGATTCTTCTTTTTCGATGGTGATCGGTCATGGTGTATAGGTAGCGAGCTGCTTCATTTTCAGCCATATCTTCATTTTATTACTAATTGATGAATGATATTATACGACTTAAATGAAAATAACTCAGAGAATCTGAGTTGTTAATTAAGGTGAAATATGGGGAAGTGATACGTTCAGAGGATAATCTGATTTTGTGGGGGTCGGAATTCGGAAAACATTAAATGATTTATTTATGCATTTCAATTGGGGAATGATTAAAGTGTAATGATAGAAAACTCACGTAGCATGGGTGATGTGAACTGAGTCATATATGTCCACGTCTACAATTTAATCATTACTCTAATTAAAAAAGTATTTTATCTTTTTAAAAATAGACTCTTTTTTTGGTTATACGTATTAATAAAGGACCAACGGAATAGCATTTAACTTATCACACCGAATCGTAGTATGTTACCAGTCTATATATATATGCCCAAGTCCAGGAAGAATGCACGTTCAAGCCCTCAAAGCACCGGTTCATCACCTTTTGTTCATTGTGCTTTTAAGGATTCATTAAGTTACAAGATATATTGTTAGTTGTTAAAATTTAAGGTGCCTTAAAAATGACTACTACTCATTAATTTTCAACTCCAAGATGCATTTCAATTAAATTGCTTTAATTTCTGTTGAGAACAGGATTGAAATAATTTCTTTGCACCTTTTTTTTTTTTTTTGGGTTTTGGTGGGGGGTGGCGGCGCAAAACTTTTCCATTACATCAATAAAATCGGAAGATTAATCCGCCAAGCACAGTATATATGTAACTTACTAATTTATATATTCATTAAAAAATTGCGAACGTCTCAACTTCATTTGTATAATACAATGTATATCCCTCAAAAATCGAACATGATAAAGGCAAAATATATTATTGAACATTATAAGATCGATTGAGTGACTAATCAATAATAACATGATCATATTGTACCAAACAAAATAATAATAATAATAATAATAATGACATGATTATAATGGGGAATACTTCTTTTACAAGAGAAAAGAACTCTTTCGACTTGCGACAATACTGAACCATTAATTTATAATAAAGAATTTACTCGTTGATACAAATTCATTTATATGTCTATTAATACATCGCCCATCGTACATGTGAACTAAATTTAGTTTCAGTTAGCATCGTATAGTCGTGCCTTTTCAAGGAATTTGATTGACCACATTGATAGCAACATCAATGTAACCTTGAAGGGTGGCCAAGTCGGGTGCATTGCCCGCCCCGACTAGATTCAAGCATTTCGCCACCACATTACCAAGTGCATCATTCAATATCCTGGTGGCAGCTAATCTATCCCCGTTTCCAGCGCTCGCAGCTGCGGCGCTGAATTGCCCGGAAACGCCGTTGAGCAGCCGGGTACATTCCTTACAATTATCCAGGCACACAACGTCTTTGAGCTCGATGCAGTCATTCCCTCTAGCTTCAACGGCTTCCTGGGCAAGAATCACCGTCCGCGCCGCGCAGGTATTGATGGAAATCTTGGCTAGACCTTTTACGTCTTGAGATTGGCTAGTTTTGTCTAGTTTGAAACAATTATGGCAACGCTCGTTCTTGCCTGTTTTTTCGCATACCCTGTCTATTAGGGCTTGGTCTGCTTTGACTAGGTTACTACGTTGTTGAAACAAAAAGGCAAGTAGTATGAAGAAGAGAAAGCAAAGGGCATAAGTTTGAGATGAAGCCATGACACAAGAGAAAAAAACCGGAATGAAGAAAAGATTGGAAGGGATTGCTCACTATGAAATGTTGTCAGTTTGGATTTATATATGCATGGGAAGTGACGAGAGATTTTTACGTTAAGTAATATAATCAATTACACGGGAAAGAAATTGAATAAAAAGGTTAAGAAGAAGAAGAAACATCTCCCCTTTACATTTGTTTTCTATCTTTTGAGTAAATTTTCAGTACAACTGTTGTACTAACGTCAGCTGCATTCTATATACAAAAACGAAAAAGATAATATTTTTACGGGTCAGAGATAAAAATTCATGGGGCCAAAAAAATCAAATATTAATCCCTATTGGTTAGTTGGACTAAAAATGTGGGTACAGCTGTTGTATATTAGATTTTTTCCTTTATTTGACGTAAAACATAACGACTTCATAAATAATATCAGGACATATTCCGTCAAAATTAAAAGTACAAGATTTACTAATTAATGAAATAATATATATATATATATAGTATACTCTTAATTAAAACAGTAAACAAAAAGGATAGGTGTCAGTACCACAATGAAAATTCTCCCGCCAAAAGTCATTTCCAATATAAAATTATTTTTGACAAGTGGCACTCTAACTAATTAGAAAAAAAAAGAATGGAATAAATAAATAAATAAATAAATCCCTTAATTATAGCTAATAAAAATTCCTTAATTATAGGTACATACTAATCCCTTAAAATAGCAATATTTTTGAGTTGATAAAATCAAGTGTCAGAAAATGTCAGAAAATCCCCTTAAATCAAGTGAAACAGCACTACCAGTAACGTCTCCCTAATCTCCAATCTCAAAGGATCTCTTTCCGCTCCTCTCTCAGACCCGGGCCTTTAAATCAACTACTTAAAATCTGGCGTCAATTATCAATCTTTCTCTTTCTACAACAAAGGAAAAAGAAGCGGTCATGGAAGGAAATTGGATTTTTTTAAAGATGATTTGTTTTTTTTTATTCTTCTGTTGTAGATATTGGTTTATGATTTATGTAAACTCGAGCATAAATTATCTGTTGTAAATTAACTGTTGTAAACTTGGGCATAGATTTATGTGTAGTAACTCAGTTCATGTCCTTTCAATCAATTTTTTATTCTTCTGTTTTTTTATACTTTTAAGGATGATTTATTTTTCTTTATTTAATCGATTAAAAAATACAGCTAGGGGCAAGAATCGAGTGCTACTATTATAGCACATAATTGAGAATAACACAGAGAATCTGCATTGTTAATGTTACATAAAGGCGAGTCACGAGTGACACCTAGCAAAATCTGATTTTACGAGGTGGGTAAAAGTTAGATTTTCGATTCAGTATATAAAGTAATGAGTAGTATGAAAACTCATGATGTTTACCCTCATCAACCCCTCAAAATCGCATATGATCAAATATATAATTGAACTATATAACATTCGAGTGAATAATAATGGCGGATTTGCTTTACCTTTTGTTACAAGGAGAAAGACTTTTTTTGACTTTGGACATGTAGGACATATTATTCGTGGGGCAAAAAAAAAACTCTACATGTCCTATTTATAAGCATTACCAGCATTATTCTGATTAATCTTAGTTTAGTCTGTATTTCATAAATAGGACTGGGAGGAGCAAGTTAATTCATAGTCTCTATAATACATATAGAGTACGTTTTTTTTAACATATGACTCCATTGGCTCAACAACATTTATTAATCCTTCTGTTCTAAAAAAAAAAATTACATTGAATTTTGAATTTTGTACTGAAAACAATATAAATGTCAGAAACTCAATTTGGACTATTTTTTTTACCGAAGTAATATAATTTGGGCCTCATGACCTACTTCATTTTAGGTTGAACAGACTTGAGCTAAGTTCGAACTCAGTCAACTTCATTCATTCAATCGATCGTTAACAGCTCTCCTCGAAACATTGTTAGTTCTTAGTACTGGTTAATGTGATAGTTCTGATGACACATTGCGATAGCGAGGAATTATATTGATGATTACATTAAAGTGATAGGGAAATGGAAGCAGTACTAGCTACTAGAGAAATATGGAATGCCCGTTAGGTGCATATAGGATAATCGTTTCTACATATTTGGTTATTTCTTGAATTGCAATGGGTTAAGACTCAACATATATATGCCACCTTACCACATCTCTCCCGACTCTCCCACCAAAAACATCAGTTTATTCTCTAATTGAAAAAATTTGGAATTGATATTCGATCTTCTCAGCTCCACATGTTATTCAATCAGTCGATTGTGTTCTCATCCCCAAAAATAAATTTGCAAAAATCAATTGATTGTTAAATCGAAATTTGTGCTATCGGGACAGTCGATTTGAATAAAACTAAACTTGGGAATGTGGCGAAACTAACATTCAACTAAAACTCAAACTCGAACACAAACACATCATGCATGGAGGATTAGCGCATTGATCATCAGGTGTGATGCTCTCCAGGCATTGAGCATGGAATAAATGACCACAACCCAGAACACCAACTTCAGGAAGATTCATCTGCTCGAAGTAGTAATCATATTCGTCATCATATTCATCATGAAGAAATTGGCTTCCCCTAGGTTTACGAATCGTGGAAGATAAATTCTTTTGGCAAAGTGAGCAGGTCTCCCCTGGTAATGATTCACTTTCGTCGTCCGAACCTGTAGTAAAACATAGTATTGTTCGTTACTAATTAGTTTATCAAAGTGGATAATTTTTTTAATGGGACGAGAAGAACATGAACTGTACAGGACGTACCATCCCATGTGATATGGTAGACAGGTTGAGGGTCATCATAATCATTGCCTTTTGCAGCTCGAGTTTGTTCACTAGTAGTTTCAACTTTCTTTCCTGTATCAATACAACATATTATTAGCACAACTTGGTATCGATTTTCGACATGTTAATCAATTAATGCAGACTAAACTTGTTAGGAAAAAGGCTCAAAATCTGACAAATTTTTGGGGGAGGCAATTGAGTTTTTACCTTTACCTTGTTCTTGCAATCCAGGATTTGTTTTCATCTTAGGCTCCGAAATAGTAACTCCTTTAGCATTTTGGCCATTTCCCTTCTGTGTTGCTGTGGTGATCTTCTTCTGAGGCTCCGAAATTGTTACGCCGACTTTAGCTTTTCCCTTATCAATGATTTCAGCATAAGAGTATTGCTCTTGTCCTGCTCTTTTTTCGGTTGGGGCCACCGAATCAGCTTCTAATTTGCCATTTCGTTTCTCTAAATTGGTACCTTTTGTTGAAGACCCGGAGGTTATTTTTCCAACATTGGCTTTGCCGGTATCAATTTTTTCTGTACCTAAATTCGTACTTTTGGTTGAAGACCCGGAAATCCTTTCTCCAACCTTGGCTTTGCCGATATCAATTTCTCCGGTATCTAAATTGGTACTTTTCGTTGAAGACCCGGAAGTCCTTTCTCCAACCTTGGCTTTGCATGTATCTGAATCGGAATTTTTTGTTGAAGACCCAGAAATTGCTTCCCCAACCTTGGCTTTTCCGGTATCAATTTTGGAAGAAACCTCGTCTTTTCCCTTGTCAATTTTGGAAGAACTCGTTGATGGCCCAGAAATTGTAACTCCAGCCTTGGGTATTTTCTTATCGGTTTTGGAAGAACTCGCCGGAATAGGCCGTGAATTAACAAGAGTCTTTTCTGGTTTCTTAGACTTTGAACTAAGTCCATATCCGTGTGTTTCCGGCGGTTTTACAGAGGCCACCTGATTAGCTTTTTGCTTCCCCTTTTTCGGAGTTTCTCGCTCACTGGTTCCTGAAAAAGATCCCGGATTTCCATCACGGGAATTATTAATCATCATGCGTCTACTCTGCTCCGGCGGCGAAGAATTGGAATTGGGTAAATGCTTTTGTGCTGTAGGAACGTCATTGATGCTGCTGCCACTCCTCTTATTCTCACCAGCTAGAAAAATTTCATCAAACAGAAACGAACAAATTGAAAAACGCCCGAATCAAAATATACAACAACAATATAAGCAATGTAAAATTATAACTAATTATCTTAAAGCCGAAAATTATTCCGATGTAATAGAATTGGGTTTTGGTCCTATTTTCCAGTAGGGTATGATAATAAACAACATAAGACGAAATCAAAAAAAGGGGGGAACATGGGACGTACCGGAGCAGCTTTTGATTGACTTCATGGATAAAACCTCAAGAAAGAAGAACCGAAAAGCGCCCTTTATCCAATTGAAGAATTTCAGCATTAAAAAAAAAACCTCACTAAGCCATTCGCGGGCAGAGGTGTTTGATTGATTAATCGATTTTTTCTTTGAGAAGTTTATTGATTGTTCTTGGTTGGGAGAAATTAGCAAAGCATGTAAACCTACATTATGTTATAAAGTATACATAAAAAACTTCGTGTAAATAAATATATATAGGTCTTGGCAACGGCGGCCACTCACCATCTTTCTCCAATTCTAATGTGGGTCGGTTTTCGTCAAATTTTTTTTATATATATAAATATTCTAGGTTGTGATAAATACGTCTCAAAAAATAGTAGTAATCCGTTTCTCAAAATAAAACCTTTTAATATAAATAATGTTTTTTTTCTTCAGTATATATATTTACAAGTGCATATATAAAATAATAAGAATAGCTTTAACCAGGAAAAAAAAAAGGGAAAATTTCCAAACTTAAGGGACAACCAGCTGGTCCCTCAGGTGACAATGAGCAGCCGCGACTAGTAGTTGTAAGCAAAATATATTTTAAAATATTAAGTACTATATAATAAAAAAATTTTACTTAATAAATTTTAAATCAAAAAATCACCTTTTAAATTTAAAATAAAAATGAACATAAAAACTTTTTCCATAGGTAGATTCAAGGCGGTGTTTTTTTAAGTGGAAACTCATGAGATTTTGCTTTGTTTATTGCAAAGACATTAAAAGAGAGTAACAATATCAATATATATATATATATATATATATATAGATAGCATTAGAGTTCTTACCAGTTTACATAGATGAAAGTTGTATTTATTAATAGTCGATAGATATGACTTTTATTTTATAAATGTGATACTTAATTTGTCAAGATCGTTACAGAGTCTTTACTTAACCTGACAAACTTATTCAGAGGACTCTTGACAAAATTATCTTGTTTTGGTAGTATTACATTGCATCTTTGCATATACAAGACTATGTAGATCACTAACTTCAGAATAGCTGGCTTTAATCAGACAGCAATATTGAACGGGAAATTAAATTACGTAATAATCTAACAATTTCCTAAGTCTCGCTTGGGAGAGATAGAAGACTTTGATTCGTGACTAGTTGCTCACAATCAGTATAAACCTGGACGCACGAGATGTCTAGATTTTCTGCTTCTTGCAAAGCTCTTAGACATGTCATGACTTCTATTTGGAAAGGAGATAGTGAATCTAGAGAAACCGATTTAATCTGCATTAGCTAATCAGTCGAGGATGTCAATTTCTATGCTCCAACCGCCTTTCTTGTATGGGGATTAAAAGAGCTATCAAAGATGGTTTTGGCATAGCGTTGTGGAGGCCTGGTGAGTTCTTGACTGGTAGAACAAGGTGTTGGTCTGTTCGTGATGCGTTGATGCTGTTGAATATCTTGTTTGATCAACCTCCATGTATTTACTGGATCCATAGTTTGGCTTCTCCACAGTTTGTCATTCCTTTCCAACTATATTCCCCAAAAAATGAGAAGGAAGAGGTCTATTTCCTGCGGGGTTGGCTAGGTGTGAGTCCAGTGTATATACCAGTTAAAAATAGAAGATGCAGAACCATCTAGGATAGTTTGGAATTTGGGATACAGAAAACTCCAAATAGCTTAAGATATTGGAAAGTTGAAGAATAGATGAAGATTATCTTCTACTCCTGTGTACCATCTCGGACAAGTTGTGTCTGTTTCAACTCCTCTTCTGTAACCCTTCTTTAGATGGAAGAGCATTTAGTAATGCACGCCAGAAAAGGAATTTATGTTTTGGCTGTGTCTTTGAATTCCATAATTTTTTCCAAGCTGTTTGTTCCATCTGTATCTGGCTTTGGTTGAGGGTTTGAGCTTGATTTTGAGTCGCATTTGACATATTAAGAGTTGCATGGTAGCCTGATTGTACCGTATAGTTACCATGAGCTATGTGCACCCATTGTAGTCTGTCCCTTTCTTTGCTGCGTGAAGGATCAATGAAAATTCCACAAATATAGGGTATCAAGTAATATGGGAAAATGGTTCTGATGAATGAGAGTTTCCACAGTCCATTGGATCTAAGAAGATCTTTGACCATTAAATTGGAATGAATTGCTAAGAAGGAATCACTCTGAATTGGATTAGGGTGATTCGGGATCTAATCATCTGAGACTTTAATCTCATTCCTTGAGATCTCTTTCCACTTTGTGTTGTTGTGTAGCAGCCTTGCTCTCCATAAAACACTTTTGTATCCCCAGGTAGCATTTCCTGGTACTTGGGATTGTGGGAAAGACTCTGATTTGTAATACTTTGCTCTGTAGATTTTTGATAACAGTGAATTAGGCTGTGAAAGTATCTTCCATGCATGCTTGGCCATGAAGGCTTGATTGAATTCAGCAGTGGCTTTAAGACCTAGACCTCCATGGAACTGAGACTTTGTGATCTTTTTCCATGTTCTCCATTGAATACCCTTAGCTTGTTGATCCCCTTTCCATATAAACTGGCCTATAATATTATCAGCTTTCCTTAATGTAGATGCTGGGAATTTGAAAACACCCATTGGATAAACTAGCATGGCTGACAGAGTTGCTTTGGCCAAGGTGACTCGTCCAGCAAAGCTTGACAATTTGGTCTTCCAGTCTGCAAATTTCCTTGATAAACATGCTGTAAAGTCATTAAAGATGACTTTTTTCTTCTCTTAGAAGTCCAGAGAAAGTCCCAAGTACTTGCTTTGGAATGCTCCTTATGGAATGTTGAAGGTTGAATGGATGACTTCTCTAACGTGCTGAGGAGTGTTGTTACTGAGCAGGATGGATGACTTTTGATGATTAATCCTCTAGCCAGAAAATGCAACGAAATCCTCAATATGACCTGTCAATGCCTGAATAGAAGACTCTATACATTCTATGAAAAATAAGCTATCATCTGCATACATTAGATGACTTAGCATGGGTGCATTCCCACTAATTTTAATACCCAAACCAGGAAAAAGCCTTAATTCATATCGAATTGCAGAGGATAGCACCCGTTGGCACAGGATGAACATGTAAGGGGAAAGAGGCAACCTTGTCTCAATCTTTTAGTTGGGGCAAGGTAAGGAAGTACTTCTCCATTAAGTTTAATGGAATAAGAGACTGTAGTGACACAAAACATTATCAGATTGATCGAAGTACCTGGTAGACCGGCTTTGGTGAGAACAGCTTGAAGAAAAGGCCAAGACATTCTACCATAGGCCTTGCTCATATCTAACTTAATAGCTGCAAGGCCTAAATCTCCATCTTTTTTCCTTCTATGTTCTATTACCTCATGTGCCAAGAATATGTTTTCACTAATATTCCTCCCAGGGGCAAAACCATTTTGACGATCATCAATGACGTCTAGGATCACCATTTTCAGTCATTTATAATCATTTTAGTAATGATTTTATACCTGACATTACATAGACTAATTGGACTAAAGTTACCTAGAGTTGCATGATTTGGTGTCTTTGGTATTAAGACAATATTTGTCTGATTCCATTCTATAGGGAAGTGTTGTTGGTGGATTGCCTCCAGTATTGTGGTTTCAAGATCAGAATCAATGATATGCTTGTAAGACTTATAGAAGCCCGTTGGCATGCCATCAGGACCTGGTGATTTCCTGGGAGACATATTCTTTATTGCTTCCCAAACTTCCGAGGTGGAAAATGGTTGTTCTAGAGCATGATTTGATCCTTTGTGAGGCATTCATCCACATTCTGTAAAAATTGTGTAAAGAAGGGGGAAGATAACAGGTTCAGGGAGCTAGATTCTGTAACACCATAGATTGTAGCAATGTGATCCTGGAAGACTTCAGCTATTTTTTCCTCATCATGCACCCAATCTCCATCTGAGGATTTAAGTTCAGTGATCCAGTTGTTACCTTTTTTCCTGGTAGCCCATTTATGGAAGAACTTGGAGTTTCTATCTCCTTGTAAAGGCCAGATGAGCTTGGATCTCTGGTACCAATAATCATGTTGGAATTATAGAGCACCATCCAGTTCATTTCTCTTTGAATCTAGTTGTTGTGTAAGGACATCATCAGTGGTATTTGCTTCCTCTTGCATTTATATTTCAGTAAGCTAAGCTGTGAGTTTGGTAACTAGCTTTTCCAAATTACCAAAATTTTCTCTACTCCAGTTATGTAAGCCAATGAGACTTGATTTCAACTTATAAGAGAGTTGCTCTTGGTTGTTATCTATATCCAAATTCTGTTGTTGCCATGAAGTTTGGATGAGGGAGGTAGGTTGTGAACAGTTGGTCCAAAATTGTTCAAACTTTTTTTTACTTCTAGTTCTCTTGCTCTTCTCTTTAATCTGGATTAAGATAGGAGCATGATCCGACATTATTATTGGTAGGTTCCTAATCAAAGCTTTTGGGAAGTGACTTAACCACTGTTTATTCACAAATGCTCTATCCAATCTCTCGAAGATTGCATTCTCATTTTGCCTTTTGTTAGACCAGGTGTACCAGCATCCAATATGTTTAAGTTCTTCTAAGTCATGTTGATTGAGGAATTGGTGTATTGGTTTGGTATTTTGATCTTTAACTAGTCTTCCACCACTTTTGTCTTCTTGGGTAAGGACCTGATTAAAATCACCTAAAATGACAGTAGGATATCTAAAAGGGCTTAAATTGGCATTTAGCTGCAACCAAAATTCAGGTCTACCTTGGCGGGAAGGCAGACCATACAAAAAAAATCAAGCCAAATTGTCCCTGTCGGCTGCACGACCCTAGCTACTATTACATTACTAGAATGCATCAAAATACTAATGTTCACATCATTTAACCAGAATAAAGCAAGACCACCACTAAGTCCTACTGGATCAACCACAAAAGAGATTTTAAAAGGTGTGGTTTGCTGCCAAACATCTAAACTAGTAAAAGTTGCTTTAGTTTCCATAAGAAATAATACCTTAGGTCTATAATACTTATAGAGTCTACCTACATTATGCTGAGTAGAAGCACTATTAATGCATAGTTACCGGAGAGGATATTCATTGAGTTGAAGGCGGTCGATCTGGTTCAACCATCGTAAAACTCATAAGCTGTTCAATCAGTCCTTCAGCATCATGGACCTGGGAGGTATTACTTGCACATTTAGCAATCGCAGTAGAACCTTGGTGTGCTTGTTTCTTGGTTGGCCTGGTATTCAAATCCATGGAACCATCAGAGGCTCTCTTCTTACTGGTAGTGGAGGAATCAAAATCCATGGAGCAATCATTGTCCACCTTCATGATCCATACTACCGAATTCTTCTTCTGTGGCTGCATCTTCTTCCCATCCTTAACACCCTTGACTTTGTGCTTCCTTCCAATCGGCATGTTCCTTTGCGAGGAATGATAATATGCTGGGAGATCCGATTCAGAGACAGCTCTTCTGATCTTCATGAACCAATTGTCTGTGTCACTTGACTACATTGCAGATTCATCACCTGTTGACACTGATTCTGACATATCTTGGGAGAATTTCTGCTTCCTTGACTTCTTGATCCTTTTACATTTGATCTTAAGACTATTCCTATACATCTTATCGAGACTAATACATTCATCAGAAGAGGAAATGTGCATACAAAATCTCCTGTTGTTCCAACATGATTGAACACTTCCTTCCCTAGACAGACTAAGCTCATTTGCAGTACATGTAGAATCAAACCAATTGCTATTTAACACAGAGATAGGCAAAATGTGACGAGTTGGTGGAACATCAGGAACAGTAGGAACAAAGATTTCTAGTATAAAGTGAGGATCATGCCTCATGTCCTCTGAGGGAGGACTTTCAAGCATCCATCTCCAAAGATTCATCAGAGGAGTCATTAGCCATAGAAGAGTAAATTGTTGGAAAGGAGTGAAAACCACCTTCATTCGAGCTCTCAGTGTCTGATAGATAGTCTGCTGATGCTGCTGGAGCCGCCATTCTTCTTGGCTCATAAAAGTTGTTATTGTTACGAAGCTCTTTCTGCAAGAAGGCTTGTAGAGAGTTGGCCGGACCATCATCATGGTAGAAATTTTCAGCATTGAAGTCCGCAATATCTGTTGGCATGTCATCATTTCCACCATCAGAGTCATCAATATCTTCATCATCACCCGCATTGTCCGAATTTAAATCATTATCATCATTGTCATTATTTTGATTCTGGTTTCCAAACCATGGTAATGGCTCTGGCTCCTCACTCTCCGAAATCATGAAACCATCTTGAACATGTAGGATTAAATTCTTTAGCCTAACACTCCAAATCAAATAACGAGAACCAAACTAATGCGGAAGCATACTTGAATCCATTGCGGATGAATAATTTCTTCAGGTTTGGTTTGATCTTCCAGATGATTTCTTTAACCGGGTAAAAAACGTGAGTTCTCAAACTGACAAATGGGAAGGCAGTTTTGACGCCGTAAAGACTCACCCGGGGACCACAACCAGTTATATAGTAGTAGGGTTTCTTTTCCACCCATCACAGAAAAGAACCCTGATCTTTTAGGTTTCTACACAATAATGTCCACAACTTTAACTTAATTAATAATTAGCTCAAAACTTTAGTTAATATAATTTAGATCACTTTAATTGGGCTATATTTTATGATAGCATATAATATACAATTATATGTTTAGTGTATAAGTCCAAAATAACCTTACAGAACATAGTGATCAGGAACTGATTCTTAGTAATCTTTCATCGCAGTAAACTTGTAGTCAGGGAGCCTAGTAGATTGTTTCTTCTTATGTGCATGTGCTCTGAGAGAGCTTGTATACAAAGGTTGAGTGAAATCAAACAGCATTGGTTTATTAAACTTCGCTGCCTGCGCCAATAAGAAGTTGTCCGGGAATTGTTCCAGCGCATTTGGCTCCATCATGTAGCATCCTTGAAGAGGATGTCCCAGGTGGCCACACCTTTGGCAATACTTAAGCATATGCTCATATTTGCAACGGATCTTATCCAATTTTCCATCTCTTCTCCTGAAGTGAAAACAAGAAGTCAGAGGATCACCTGGTTTGATCCAAACTTGGACCCTGACATAAGTTGCTTTTCTCAGAGATCCGCAGTCTGCTTTAATCCTGGACATGTCAGAGATTCTACTAGCCAGATCTTCAATTGTTTGATAGTTCATCGCAGTAATGGGAACGCAGTGCATTCTGACCCATATGCTGAGCTTGTCAATCCGAATACTGTCCAAGGAGAGATCTTCATGGTCGTAGATTCTTCTGAGGATAAGGGACACCACCATTGACTACATGTGGACTATTGTCAAGAATAGCAAGCATATCAGATCAACTTTCAAACTTGATGATGAAGAAATTCTTATCATAATGGAGGATCCGGGTGTACAGAGGCCAATTTTTTATCATATATTTCTGCATGGCCCTGTCATCCACTTCAATATCATCAGTGAGATATCCTAGAAGAGACAGATTAAGATTCTCCTTGGATAGATGTGTTTGCACATCCGTCAGTTGCATGCAACGAGAACGGAGATAAGGAAGAGGGATCGTATGCGGATCTGCATCTACACCATGCCTGAAATCAAGCTCTTCCTCCGAAAACTCAGATCTTTGGACTGACATAGCAGTCACTGAATCCTCATCCATTGCATGTCGATAGATCATCGTGAAAGAAACAGAAAGAAGCCAAAAGAGTAGGATTTAATAAGTTTTAAACTTTAATGGAAGTAGAGCAAAAGACAGAAAGCTCAGTCTGGACAGATGTGCTTTAATATAAAGGGAACACGGAATAGGAAGGGCCGAGAATCAGATAAAAACAAGGAAGAGAAAAGGTTTATTTTTGGCTCAGTAGTGAATGCTGAACTCTAAAAGGCAAACGCCTTTACTAGTCTAGTTTCCAAACTTTGGTCAAGTAATATTGGAACTAGAAATGCATTCGGTTTTTGTAAAACAGGGAATGGAATAAAGGCGGAGGATCTTGTGGGACTCTAGGAGAGCAAAACCATAAAAGAGATGGATTTAAAGAGGGATTAGTTCTGATTTTCTCAAAAAAAAAAAAGGAGAGTTAGAAAATTAATAAGAAATTAGATTCTTTTGCATAGAGGCCAAATGGCATGAACTGCATAAAGACAAATATTGCACTTAGATCTGAAAAGTGGAAATAATTGATCGAGTTTAGGATAGTAAAATAAAGATTCCAGTGAGGAAAACCTCTTTGGAAGCAAAGGATTTGATTTTTAGATAGTAGATATAAACCACACTTGATGGATTTTGTTATGTGTTGATTTTGAAGATGAAGAGTCTCAGACTAAAATTTTGTTGGAGTCCTAAGTTGTCAATTTTCAAAGTCCTTGGGAGAAAAAGAGGACATTCTCTCACGAGTTTTTTAGAGAGAAAGGACAACTCTTGCAGTAATTATTGTTCAGACTCTTGTTCTAAAATGGAGGGGGTATTTTGTGACAAAGCATGAGAATTCAGAGTACTCTTGGTATTTATTGTTCAGAGAACCTTTGTTTCTGAAAAGGACGGATTATTTTGTGACAAAGCATGAGATACAATTTGTTCGAATATTCTTTCGGTTCATTTTGCAATCTTAATAATCCCTCTTATCTATTTTACAATATGTGAATTGTAAAGAGTCGGTACATCTTAAACTATAGTTGCTGAACAAAGTCAATTTTCACGTCATTTTTCTACAGGCTTATAAAATGTCAGAATCTGAACTTTGTTAACATAGAAACTGAAAATACTGGTAACCATAGATTTTATTAAATAATATTTCTGTAGCATTTTATTAAATATAATATTTCTGCAACTCAGTAACTATCTATTTCAGTCAATTTGCAAAAATAAAAACTGAAAATACTTAATACTTTACAATTGGAATAAAGTTTAATAATTTATGTACAAAGTAATTGGATTTTGAATGGATCATCAACTGTACAAGGGGAAAAAAACCAAAGTTAGGATCACTGATTAAAAGCATTACCAACGTTCCAAAGGAACTATATTTACACTTTTCAAATGTCTTCCATCATGTCACTTGTTTTTTTTGGCCATTCGCCAAGATCAGGAAGGAGGGGGCGAATGAATGGTTGTATCAGGTAACATAGCTACAGTCACTACGAAATATTCACAGCCTACTGGCAGGCCATACGTATTTGAGGCCGTCGATCCTGAGTTATTCAAGGAAAACCGACTTGAACCTGCATCAGACGTTGGCACATCAGCCCTATCTCTAACATGATCGACAGTCGAGGGTGCAATTCTCACGGATTGCCTCTCGATATGCACTATCTGCCCAACAATATAGGGAGGACGATTTGGAAGATGGTCCGTGAACAGAGCCACTGATTCTGAAGAAAGGTAATAGTGGGAGGAATTCCGGTTTATAGCCTCATAATGTCCAGCAGAGTTGTGAACAAAAGCAGCAATTTCATGAACTTCCAGCCGACCAAAAGATATCTTCTCCTTGTTTGCCTGTGAGAAACAATCACAGGTTGAGGATTCAGATGATAAAGAAAAGTTAATGCCCAGAAAACATGGTTACAACCAACAAAAACATGAAAATGCAAAAAGTGTTGCAGGTCACAATGCCATGACTATCAACAGTAACACAAAAAAGTAGTGCCCAAATCATCAGCATAACCACTACCAAGATTTGCAACATACAAGGTGGTCAAGAAGAATTCCAAAAAAGAAACCTTTAAATTCCTAATTTCAGTTGCAAGAACACAAAGCGAATTTGTACCAAATATAATGCCAAGATAAAGCACCGTATAAAACAAAGGAATAAATAAATAAGGCAGTCATTAGAACCTGCTTCTCATGTTGATGCTTAATATAAAGAGTGTTAACCAACTCCTTCTTCTCCTCCAACTCCTTGGCAAGCTGTCCATTTTTAGATTCAGCTTTTGAGCATCTCTCATGCAGCTCAGCACGTTGCCTCAATAAAATGCCGACTCGGTCAGCAAGTACACGGACACACTCGTGGAAATTGGCAGTATCATCATTTTCATTTTCATTGACAGAACTGCAACAATTAAAATTTTTATCAAGTCTACCGTCAAGACGAAAATGATAGAATGTGACAAAAAGACGATTCAACTAATGTATCAGACATGCCAGACTTCAGTTTCCTCTAACTGAAACATTAAGTTTCAAACATGCGATGCCTCTACCTGACACCATTACATTCCAGTTTACCATCCAGAATAATTAGAAAGTTCGCTACCACTTTTCATAAAACCAACTGATTGGAGCCAAAAACAACATATTTTAATAGCATAGACACCAGAAAAACTATTCACATTCTACCATGCCAGTAGAGCAAAAGGAAAAAAAATACACCATAGATGTGGACGCATATATTATACATCAGGCCCCGGAGCTAAATACACCAATGAACTCTACTACACTTACTTGGCCAAAGATTGAGCTAGAGAACGCAATGATTCAGTAAATTCAGCAACTCCAGGGGAAGTTACACAGGTTTTAAGTCTCACAAATAGACTCCGCAGCTTCAACGCAGACGCACGTACAGCACTATATTCTGAGGCCTTTCGATCTGCTGCTTTGAGATTGGTTTCAGCCTCTTTTCTTGCTTCATGCAGACAATTCTCTAAATGCACACAATTCATCTGTAAAAGTGCATGTGAAGAGGACACAAGCTTTAAGATATCAAACATGCGAAGGACAAGCCTGGAAACTAAAATTAACAAGTATCAGCAACGAAATTTCCACCAAATCTTTTCTAATGTTTGGCATGTCAATTTATTTTTTTTGTGTTGCGTGAGTGGACTGATGGAGTGGGAGGGAAGGGATCAGTGAGGATTCTTGTCAGTTAACCCAATTGCAAATGAACGATTGAAACAAAACCTAACTGATGAAATATATGTCTCTATTTCATTCATAACCAACCCAATCCCTAGAGGTGAAAGAGAAAAGAGTAATTTGTGAATTTACTATAGATATAGTAAGACTTAAAGTTACAGCAATTAACTTTATAGAATGAATACCTGAGATTCATCAAGGAGTTTTCGATTAGTCTCCAAATCCCTTCCAAATTTGGAAACCTCATCTGCTAAAGCTATAAGCTTACTTTCAGCTTCACTGAGTTGGCTCGATTTCTCTTCAAGTGCACTTCGCAACTCAAGAATCAGATCATCTTCCTTCGAGGAATCCAGACCCTGTTCACCAGTTGTTTTGGGAGGAGAGGCACTTGAAGGTTTAGATATGCTCACAGCCATACTAGTAGACAATCCTGCATCGGAATCTTTCAGCTCTCCGTCACGAATATTCCCGTCATCGCGCTGTGGATCTATCATTGATGAATCCAACGGTTGGTTTAGCGTACCAGATGAATCTGCCATGTTTTCATCCAATCCCTCATTAATCTTATTGTGTTTAAAGGGAACCCCAGGTTTAACATTCCTCGAACTAGAGGCAAAGAAAGTATCATCCATGTTGTCAGCTGACAAATGCTGCATGTGAGTTTCACCAACGCCTGATATTTCTGATTTGCTATCATCAGTTTTTGTGGATGACAGGGTCAGCTTCAACGTTTCATCATCAGTTGAAAGATTATTCCCTTGGACATACTGATCAGAGAGCCTCTGCTCCAATTCTTTAATCCGTTTTTCATACGAGTCACACTGAATTTGCTTCATTTTTAGCATGTGCTGCAACTGTTTCTCATACTCTTCTCGAAGCGTCAAAGCTTCAGTAGTTTTTTCGGCAGCAGTTTTTAGCAAACTATCTACTTTATTTTGATCAAGCAATTCGTAATCCAATTCAGAGCCCATTGAACAAATCAAAGCAATTTTAGAAGCGAGTTCAGCTTTTAATTTTGCATTCTCCACTTCAATTTTACTGGTTCCAGCAATATCCACTAACTCCGACCCCTCAAGAAATTCTAAAGAATCAAACCTCTCAGGGAAGTCCTCAACACTCTCTTCAATTTCAGCAGAGTGTGAACTGTCATTTGACATGGAAAATGAACCTCTGGACCCCTGCTTCTCAGTCTTAGAAGAAAAGCCAACTAAATGTTCAGGTGCATAACGATCAATGTCAGCTATGTCAATATCAAGCAAACTCGTATCAAATGGAGTTATATTGACATCACACTGGCTTGGGTTGTCATATAAACCCATTGATGTCAATACATCCCTTGGTACATACAAACTATGTACCTTCAGAAATTCTTCTCGTCTCCTAACTTCATCCTCCCTCTTCATCGCAAGCCTTTCAGCCATTTGTCCAGCCATGCCCATGTAAAGCTTCATGGCAGCCCTTCTCCTCACCACCTCTGCAAGGCATGCCCTGTATGCCGGACCAATGCCACGCACTATCCTCAACTGCTCAAATTGGTCACTCTGGCGCTTCAAAGCCTCCTGGAAAACAGAAAACTTGTAGCGTACATCTTTAATTGTGTACTGTATAAAGGCTATCTTCTGCATGTAATTGTGCACGAATATGTTCATTTCATTCTTTTTATCCCGACAAAAATCGAGCAAATTGGAAATTTCACGGTCGCAAGCCTGCATCTTAGGTAGGCAGTTTTTATCGTGGGTATCATACATAGGACCCAAAGCTGAAACAGCATCATGGGGACGAAGTGAGGAAGACAGCTCACCGGTGAGAGAGTCATCAACAAGCTTCTTCACTGTATTTACATCTTTACTGCACAAGTATGACGAAAATTTTAACAGACTTTACTTTATCAAAATGATGAAATAATTTTTAACAATGAAAGCAAAGAGAGAACCACAATCACATGAAAAGCCATTAGAATAAAGAACGCAAATATCAAACAGAAGGGGTAGCAAGAACCGTAAACAAAAACCAAACAATTTTATTTTCATACTGCTGGAAAAGAAAAAGACTAGTAAAGGGATGGCTGAGACAATATAACCGAAAATGACCTGGCAAATAACTTCTTACACAATGAATCAAGCTAACTTTACTCCAATTCTGTATCCTAAAACAGAACGATTTTCAATGACAAATTTGAACTCATACATTTAACATTAGTAAACCTACTTTTATCTCAGTGATAACAAGTCCACCACTTTGATATAAACCAGAGGATGATAAAAGAAAAATGTGAAGCATTGATAGCCTTAAGTGAGGTCATATCAGAAAATAGTCAGGGTACAGTCACGTAACGCATCACTACCCAACTGATATGCAGAAAACAAAAAGAAAATCAATGAGACAATCATTCAGGATACTGTACTTGATGAACACTTATAATGAAATCCTAAAGAAAACCAGCAAAACACGGGATAACTATGACAGCAAAATAGTACCAATGATTTGAATAAACAGTCAACCTATCGACCACTGCAACATCCCATGCCTTAACTATAGTATGAGTATCCACCATGAATTTCATGACACATTTAAACAAATCATTCATTAGGAACTGAAACTCAGTACACTAAATTCTGGGATGCGTGTCTGTTTGTTTTGTGTGTGTGTGTGTGTGTGTGTGTGAGAGAGAGAGAGAGAGAGAGAGAGAGAGAACCTTAAAGTCTGCATGATGCTCTTTTGCTCATTAATGTACCGTTGGTGCTCTTTTAAAGTTGTTTCCAATCCACCAATAAGGAAAGAAGCTTTACTTGAGAATAGATGTTCAGCATTCCGCTTTAGTTCTCCAAACTCCCGTTTGAACTGCAGGACTTTATTCTCAAACTGTCTGTGTGAACTGCTACAATCCTCCACAATCTTACGAAAGTTCTCTTCCTTCACAAAGTCAAGCAGACACCTGCGATTGGGAGACTGCAACTGGGGGCAAACCTTCCAAGCTTTCAATCTCTCTATATCCCTCCCAAAATTTGTCAAAAGATTAACATGCCTCCTATGCTGTTGAGAATAAAACTTCTCAAAATCCTTATAGTTCTGCAAAATCATCCTGTAAAAATGATCCAAATTGTGGGCAGCAATTTCCAACGCTCTCTCTTGAACCTTCAGCTCTCTAAAAAGCCTTTCAGAGACATCTATTTTAGCTAATGTACGGCTGTAAATAGCTTGTCCAAACTGAAAATGATATCTGAACTGCCTCTCATAAAGAGCTAAGGCCTTTAGCGCAGGGTCTGTAGCATCATCCAATGGATGATGGTCGTGGGAGGATGGCACAGGGGGGTCAGGAATATCAGTGATTTCAACTTTCTCAGCTGGAGGAGATGGAGAGTTGCTCCGCATTCTTGCTTTGTTGAACAAAAAGACTTCCCGACCATCCGAAGGTAGTCCATAAGTAGAAAGGGGTTGTGCTGGTTCTAACTTCATGTCCAAGCATAAAAGAAGTTGATCATTGACCTGAATTGCAGTACCGGATTCTAGGTATCTCTGGATAGCCTCAACAAGAGTATATTCATCACAATCAAGTTGAAATGAGTGCCCATTTTCGGCAATGTGAACTGGAAGCTTGCCCATTTGAACAACCCCTCCTGAGATATTCGAACTCATTTGTATGTCCAGAAAATAAGAATCGTGAAATCTCTCTCCACCACAAGAATCTATCAATATAAATCAATCAGTGAAGAACCCCTGCAGATTGTAAGGTTATTCCAAGCCAAAGACCAAATCTTGATCAATCAAACACCCTTGTTCCTGCCAACAACCAGGTTCTTAGAGCACCAATAGCAACTACTTCGCAAAATAACCAAAGCCAAGTTGCATAAATCCCTAAATTTCGCTTCTTGAAGCTTGAATCCCCAAGTACCAGTCCCCTCTTAATGTACGATCATCCCCACAAATCAGAAAATAGAGATCAAACTTATATATGAGCCACCATTCTCATACACAGAGAGACGAATATCTGTACCAAACTCTTTCACAGATTTCCAATGGCAAACGACCACCCCTTTTTTACCACGAAGTCCCAAATCAGTGGAAAACCCAGCAAACCACCAATAATTATATCAATACAAACCCCCAAGCAAGTCCTAAGCACTTCAATCGTGGAAAACCCAAACGAAAGTTGGAAAGTTTAGCCAATTGAAAACCCAATTGCTCAAAAACAAAAACTTCACCGCAGAGTAATTCAGAAAAATCCCACTTTTAATAAACTGCAACAAAAGTACCAACCTTATAAAACCACCAAAGTCCACTTCCTCCTGCCCAAAACCCTCAATCCGAAATCAATCAATCAATCCCTGCAATCAAATTAGCACAATAAAAAAAATCTTCAGCAAGAGCCCAGGAAAAGAAAAACAAAAATTTAAACCCACATGAACAAAAAGAGTACCAAACAAGGAAAAATTCAACGATTAAAAACCCCAATTACGTGAACAAAGAGAAAACACGGGGAAAAAAGAGAAAGTTACTTAGGATTTGCTGATAGAAGAGTTGAACACGAAAAGCTATCCCCTTTTTTTTCTTCTTCCTTCCTAATACCGTGCTTCTGTGGGATTGTTTTTTGTATAAAAATTGGGGCTGCTTCCTCCTGCTTTGTAATACGGATAGAAGGAAGACAAAGCAAAATCAAATATATTAAAAAAAAAAAACCCAATTTTTATTTCCCCTTAAAAATATTCCAATTGTTTCGGGAAGGGAGAAAATCTTCTGAAGGAAGTAACCAAAACTCAGAAACAGCAGAAGTTGAACAGTGTGGTTTCCCTTTTTTTTTCTTTTTCCTGTGTAACATATATATATATATATAAAAAAAAAAATTGGAGGGTTTCTTTGTTTCTTCTTCTTCCTAAAATCCTAAGTAATGGCAAGAATAAGTTAAAAAAAAAAAAGGGGAAGAAGTCTAGGAAGATTAGGAAATTGATTCGGATGATGCCATCTCTGCTTCTTCCTCTGCTCCTCTCTCTTTTCTCTCTCTCTCTCTCCTATCATGTCATCACTCTTCCTTCTTCTCTACCAAAAAATAATATAATATTTTTTTTTAATATTTTTAAAGTAATACTATAATACATGAATCTTACTAATAAGGAAGTTTTCTTTTGTTGGTTTGTTCGTTTGGGAGTATTTATTTGACGACCATGATGATGATGGTGATGATATCTGTGTGTATGTAAATGTTTGCACGTATCGACAATGTCTATTATTTTTTTTATTTTTAGTCTTCTTTTGGTGGGCTTGGACCCTTTTGGATCTTTTTGTTTAATTTCTTGAAAATTGAAAGTGGTTAAAAAAAAAAGAAGAAATAAATTTTACTGCTAGCCGCTTTTTTATTTTTAATTTTTTATAGTAAGGTGATCACGGTATTAATAATAACTAATAATTCATTTCGTTAATGTATAGAGAATTTGAGCTTCTAACATTGGATCTCAATAAAAAGACAATGTCTATTATTTTTTTTATTTTTAGTCTTCTTTTGGTGGGCTTGGACCCTTTTGGATCTTTTTGGGTAATTTCTTGGAAATTGAAAGTGGTTAAAAAAAAAAGAAGAAATAAATTTTACTGCTAGCCTCTTTTTTATTTTTAATTTTTTATAGTAAGGTGATCACGGTATTAATAATAACTAATAATTCATTTCGTTAATGTATAGAGAATTTGAGCTTCTAACATTGGATCTCAATAAAAAGAAAATGATGAATTCTCATCACTAAAGCTTGACTTTTCAATTGATCTTCCAGTTTTCTTTAAATTGAATTTTTTTTCCTCAATAAAGAGAATTGAATTGTGTAGGCCAATATTGGTTTGCTCCCTAATGTTAAATTTTGTCCTTTAAAGAGCCTATAAATTCACCTATTTTCTCATCCTCCGTTAGTTTGTTTGTTTTTTTTTTTTTTTTTGGCATATTTACAGGGTGTCCGCCTTCAGCTACACAGTGACTAATCCCACTTCACCACAATCACTTTATATATATATATACATATATATATATATATAAGGGCAGCCAGAGGCTTAGATACAAAAGTCCCTATAGTCGTAGGGATCATGACAACTTATCCACAGCTAATAATCCTACTACGCTAGACGGGGGTGTTGACAAAATCTGTCTCCCGGCTGGACATGTCAATCCAAACTTGGCTAGTTCATCGGCCACCTTATTGCTGTGACGACGCACATGACCAATAGATATTTGCCAATTGAGCCGGAGAAGCTTCCTAATCCTGTTACATACATTGCTACTAACAGTATTAGAGTTTTTCATAGACAGAGATTCAACAGCCTTCAAGGAATATAGTTCTAACTGTACTTTTCTAAATCCTAAATCCCACGCAATTTGTAGTCCATGGAATGCACCCCAGTATTCTGCTTCAAGGCTATTGCAGTTACCAATGTTAGCAGCAAAGCCAATTAGCCAATCCCCATCTGAGTTTCGAATGACACCACCTGCCGCTGATTTTGCTGATGTTGTTACTGTGCCTCCATCAGTATTAATTTTCACCCAATCTTTTGGCGGCGGGTTCCACGGACTTGTTGCGTGGAAACTCTGTGGCTTTTCGACCCTGGTGCAAAAATCCAGTTAGAACGAGCAACTTCTTTAACAAAAGCCTGGGTAGCAAATCTGAGTGATCTTTGTGAGATTATTTCTTCACCAAAAATCTCCTTGTTCCTAGTACTCCATAACTTCCAACATCCTACAGCAAATCATAGTGCCCAAGAATAATGGTCCTGCAGGAGAGAGGAGCTTAAATTAGATAAAAGCCACACCTTAAAGTTGTTTTCATACCAAAATGCCGTCCCCAGAGATGCTTTAATACTCCTCCAGAGCTCTTTACTCCTGAAACAGTCCCTGGAAATATGAAAGAGAGTCTCTTCTCCTCCACAAATATGGCAGCTGCTATCGTCTGAGAGATGCCGCCTTTTCCTTTCCACGTTCGACATGAGTACTTCTCTAAGTAGCAGCCATAAAAAGGTTTTACTCTTTTCTGGCCCTTTCCATCTCCACACTAGTTCCCACTGCTTCCCTTCGTCGTCCCAGCGTTCTTCTGTTAACATTTTATAGGCTGAGCTGGTGGTAAACCTCCCCGAAGTCGTGAACCTCCAGACAGGTCGATCAGATTCTGTCATATTTTGAGGAAGAGGTATTGCTCTGATCTGGTTTATGATGTTAGGTGGCAAGATTGTATACAGCTTGCTCCAATTCCAATTCTCCGGTATTGTCCACAAAATTTGACACTTTAGCTTGTAGTTCCACACCCGGAATGTCAACTATGGCGTGGTAGATCAGAGGTGTACTTTCATTCGCCCAAATGTCAGTCCAAAAATTAATTCTCCTTCCATTATTGACAAGCCATTTGATTCCTTTAAGTACTTCAGGCCATAACCTTGCAATCTGTCTCCAAAGACTTGATGCTTTGGTTTTCGAGATATCAGATGGTAGGTCCTCCCAAGAAAAATCATATTTTGCTCTTAGCATTTCCTTCCACAGGATATTCTCATTTGAGATCAGCCCCCATGCCAGCTTTAGGATGAATGCCTTGTTGAAGTCCCGCATTTTCCTAAGACCCAATCCACCTCTGTTTTTCGGTTGGCACACTGAATCCCAATAAACCAAGTGTATTCTCCTGTCTTGATCCTTGCTGCCCCATAGAAGATCCCTGTTTACTCTGTCGAAGGCCTCACATGTCGCTTTCGGTAGCACTGCCGATTGCATTAGATAAACAGGTATGGATGGTAACACAGATTGGCAAAGAGTGAGATTTCCTGCTATCGATATTCGTTTGAGGTTCCATTGCCGTGTTCTTGACTGAGCTTTCGTCACCCATTCATTATAGATATCTTTTCTAACTCTTCCATGGATGATCGGAGTTCCCAAGTACTTTTCCAAGTTGTTGACTCTTCGTATCCAACTTATATTGCTCAATACATCAGCCTGGTCGAATGCTATATTAGGGGACACATATAGCCCCGATTTATCAAGGCTAATGGTGTGTCCCGATGCCAGACAGAAACTTTGCAGTGTATTGCGGATGACCATCAGTTGATCTACTGTAGCTTCCGCAAAAAAGATCAAGTCTTCTGCAAAGAGGAGGTGCGAAAGAGGCATCTTAGCATTCCCAAATAGTAAGGGCTTCCATCTTCCCTGTTGTACCTCGATGTCGATAGATTGCGATAGTCGTTCCATGGCTAGAACAAAAAGGTAGGGGGATATTGGATCCCCTTGTCGAACCCCACAATTGGGTTTAAACTCTTCTCCCACGATGCCATCCCAAAGGATTTGAGTTGTACCCGAGTAGAGTGATCCCATTATCACATTCTAAAGTAATTGTGGTATGCCTGCATCTTGCAATGTATCCTCCAAAAACTCCCAGCTAATTTTATCAAATGCCTTAACCAAATCGATCTTAAGAGCAAGCTACCCTTTGCTTCCTTTAGCCTCCCTCATTGAGTGAATGGTCTCTTGCGCAATGAATATATTGTCCACTATACTCCTTCCTGCTACAAAACTAGACTGAGTAGGGCGAACAAGTGTTGGCATCACCCCTTTCAATTTGTTTGCAACCACCTTAGAGATTATCTTCGCTGAGACGTTAATCAAGCTTATCGGTCTCATATTTTGAAATCTTTCTGGATTCTTGACTTTCGGAATGAGGACTACGAGAGCTTTGTTGATTTTCTTATCTACACTCCCTGTCGCAAAAGCTTCTCTAACCAAGTCAGACACGGACTCTCCAATGGTGGTCCAATTATATTGGTAAAAGCTGGCTCCAAAACCATCAATCCCCGATGTCTTGAACTTGCTCATTTCAAAGATCGCCACCTTGGCTTCATCATCTTGGAGCTCTTTTTCAAGAAGCCTAAGTGTTTGCTCACTTAAACTTGGGAAACAACCCCGAGTAGCATATCTGTGGCTACACATTGCAGGCCGGCTGTAAACTTTCTTAAAAAATGCAGTAGCTTCCTCACTTATTTTTCCAATTCTGAGCACCAGGATCCATCCTCTAACTGTATCGCCTTAATTTTGGCCCTGTGCTTGTTGCCCTTAAAATTGTCATGGAATCTCTTGGTGTTGCGATCCCCGTGGGATAACTAGATTGCTTTCGAGTTTTGAGCCCTTAGAAGTTCTTCTTGCGTGACAATAACTTCATATTCCTCCTTGAGTGACTTCTCTAACTCTATTAAAAAGGCTAGTTGCCTTGTTGCTAGTGCTTTTTGTAAGCCCCCGAGCCTCGCAAGTAACCTGTTCTTCCTTTTATTTATATCTTCGAAAACATTAAATTTCCAGTCGTCAATTCGTTCTGTAAGCTGCAGCAGCGCATCTGAGAATTTTGCATTCGAATTCCATTTTCTGGAGAGCCAATCTCGACACTCTTCGTGAGCCTCCCATGCCATCAAATACTTGAAAAACTTTTTATCGGTGGGTGAGATATTCCTACTTTTGAAGGTCATGAGTAAAGGGGAGTGATCAGATGCCGCTCTGGGTAAGTGTTTTACCGTTGTCTCCTTGAAAAAATCGTCCCATTTATCATTAACCAATGCCCTATCTATCCGTTCATGGACAAATCCCCACTTCCATGTAAATCTGGAGCCTTAAAATCCAAGGTCTATCATTTCTGCCTTGTCTATCCAATTCCGGAATCTTTGACAGCCCTTAGACTTCCTTCCCCCAACTTTATCTGCCTCGTCCGTAAAAGCGTTGAAGTCACCAAACACCATCCAAGGTTCTGATACAGTCCCTGCAATGACATCTAAAGTCTCCCACAGTAATTTTTTGGTTAGCGGCTGAGGGCTACCGTATACTGCGGTCAACAAACACGACAAGTTATCTGAAAAACATACTTTGAAATGCATGTCTGCCAGTCATTTTGCAAAATTTTTATAGAAACAGAGTCACGCCACAAGAGCCATATACCACCAGTAGCATCCGGCTCATTCACACGAGGTTCAAAAACAGCCAGTATTTGAGGTTTATGCGGTTTAATCTTTTCTTTAATCATTGAAATTGTTACCTGATTGGAAATGCCCCTGCAATTCCAAGCTAGTATTCGTGTATCCATTAAAAAGATATAGAGGGGTAGAACTTACCTACCGGCGTCCGGTAGCTGTTCCAAATTGGCGGTGGACCAGTGGCCGTCGTCGGTCACTTTCCGTTGGTCCTCAACCATTTCATCTGCCTCCAGACCAATAGTTCCTTCTGCTA